TTGCTGTTATGCCCCTCACTTAAAGCACAAGTTATGGTCTTTAAAGTAGCCACGCATAATATTTAGTAAGTGTGCTTTCTTGTCTTGGGAGATGGCTGCAATTTAAAGCCTTCCTAAGGTGAGCCTTCAGTTTGGTGGGCAAGGGCTTTCGGAGGTTGCTTTCCACGTAATCACACTTGGGAAGGCGAATTCATCATGTTATCACGTATAGTTTTCCGTTTCTACTATTTGAAAACCAATAAACTTATAGTTATTATTGGCATTGTTTCAATGCCTCCAGTACCCTCCCCCGAATCCCTTAATTGCTAATATTCATCATTTACTGCGTTGTCACCTCGCCTCCATTCGGGACTTCTCTTTGTTAAGAATACCTACGAGAAGTGGATATTGGCGACACGGCGCAATGTTGTTGAGTTGCTGGAAAATTTGCCCTCGTGCAGACCCCCAGCCGAGCTCCTTTGCCGGCTGCTGCCTCGTTTGCAAGTGCGCTACTACAGCGCAGCCTCCTCCTCCCGGTGCCAACCTGACCGGCTGCGGCTCATTGTCAAAGTGGTGAAGTACACTTCTCTCAGCGGTATGTCCAAAGAGAACTTCTAAACACTCTCCAGCCACTTGTGGCACTCGTGTTCTGGTAAAACAAGCGTTATCCGTGATATTAGATTACTGTGGTAAATGAAACACGGAAGGTGCACGTAAGTTTTGCCATTAGTCGCAGGGCTATCCTTACGCCGGTCATGCTAATGTGCCTTTTCTACTCTCTTACCGACACATTGCGTTCATTTATGCTTGGGAGGCCATAAACAGTGATCTACCAATCTGCGATTTGCACGAATAAAAATCAAGTTTGAAGCATGAGGTGAGCCTCACTAAATCACCGACCACTTAAACTCAGAAGTCAACCTTTTGTGAAGTGTAGGTGATTCAGTCTTTAATGCTTTGGGAAGAAAACACTGAAGATGAATGGACGTAAAATGTGTCGTAGGATTAAGAAATTGTGCCAAAATGAAGCCTGTATTGGCGACCGCGGGCTTTGCGTGAGATTTGCTGGATACTCACTTGAAGTCACTGGTAGCCCCTGAGTTTGACTCTAGACAAATCATTGTACATTAAGTTGGCCTGGTCAAGCCCCACTTTACTGTCGTTTTTGTTTCTGTGGCCTTACATATTTGTAGGTCGATTGCATGAAGGAGTTGCGAGCAGCCTACTTTCGGGTCTGCAACCCCGAGACCGCGTCCCTGTGTTTCTGCAGCGATCCGAATTCCGGCTTCCTCGAAGTCCCATGACCCCCATCATCATGGTAGCCACTGGGACTGGCCTCGCTCCTTTTCTCGGCTTCATTCAGGAACGAAAGTTTATCAAGTCAAAAGGTCTGAATTCTTCTATCCTTCCACGAATTGAGTTCGTCTTCCTATGCAATAAACTTGATTCTAATCAGTCTAATCCTTTCGTAAAGTTCTCGGCACTTGATCAGCGAAATTTTTTGTGCGCTCACGGCTCCCCTAACCAATGTAGTGTGACAGTATAGCAGCAAAACGAAGGCATCGTGGTGATGATTATTTTTTTTGTAGGCGGGAAGCTAGGCGAGGCCGTGTTGTTCTATGGATGCCGAACACGCCGCGAGGACTACATCCTTGCAGATGAATTGCAGGATGCGCTTGACCAGGGCGTGATTTCCGGCCTCCACACGGCCTTCTCACGGGAGACGACGCACAAGGTCTACGTGCAGCACCTGATGCACCAACTGGCAGATGCCATATGGTCCCTTCTAAAAACTAAAAATGGGCATTTCTATGTGTGCGGGTATGTTATTTACGTTGCCAGTGATGCCTTTTTTGTCCGTATAGCCTTTCTTTCCGCCTCAGCAATGCTCTGGGCTGTACCAATTGCATCGCTGTTCCGTTTTAGTGACCCTCGACGCACGGCACGGGGTGTGCGAGATGCACTGCTGGACATTATCCAGCAGAAGGGCTCTCTCAATTCCACTGAGGCCAGCGAGTTTCTGGAGCAACTGAAATCAGCGAGGCGTTGCATATTTGATACGTGGACGTAGAAATAAACGCTGACATCCCTGATGCCTTTTTATTGTTTTTTTTTGTACTCGAATTATTGTTCCTTAAAATGCGAAATCGGTCATCTGACAGTAAGCGGAATTTAATAGGCGGTTGTCTTCTGTACGTAATGCGGGTATCAACATAACGTGGTTCGCAAGGATTTCTAAGCTAGTTGAAATATGTAAGGGCCCTGAATATTATCATGCTTGCCTATGTTGATTTTTTTTATGTAAACCTACGTAATATTTTTAAATTTAGGCGCAGTCAGGTAGGTCTTGATCCCAGGGACTGTCAGGTTTGAGGGCACCGTTTCGCGTCACTGGGGGCAGTTATTTGAGCCTGAAATCCCGGAACCTCAGGTCTACCCATGATGAAGTTGATTTAGCCAATTTTAGGAGTTCCAATGCACTTTGGCCCCGAATAATTTACCGGGTTAAATTATTCCTGATGCTCACAGTGGGGAGGCGGTGGCACGCTGCCTTGTAGGTGATCCTCATCTACGACCCAGAGGTTTTCCTTTGACGGCTTGCGGAATAAACTGTAGTGCCGCAGTGGTAGTGGTGCAAGCAATCGTTTTCTGCTCTTTGGCAATTCTGTTTGGGGACACATTACCGACGGTAACGTGGGCGATGCGGCCCGGCCACCGAGGGCTGGTACTCCCCGTGCGGCTGCACTGTAGGACATTAGAAGCACCCAGTGTCCTTACAGCCTCGTTCGGTTAGGGGGATTTTGTTTTCCCACTGAACGGTCATCCCCCCGCTTAAAACGAGCAAAAAGTTTAGTAACCACTATCAAGACGTGGTGGACGTATTCGTGTGTCCGATCTGTTCGCAACTGGACTTACGTCACCATGGCCATACGCGTTTCTCTTAAGTGGTCTGAAGGGGAATTGCCTTTAGTGGTGGCTTGGGCGTGCTTTGTTTCGGACCACTTGATCGGTGATTTTGAAGTAGCCGGTGGCCATACCAAATGTGCATTGGCATGGTATCTGCACCGCCTTGCCAGATCAGCCCCCTTACAAAGCAAAGCATATTGCGTAAAATTTGGGCTGGTGAGGCTTTCAAGTTGCCTGTGCATTTCCCGCAATTCTCCTCCCTGAGCCTATTTTGTACTCCAAGGCACCCCTCAAACGCACGATAATTTATGAATGGGGAATGAAGCGTAGCATTTTGTTTATGATGTTAGGCTGTAGTGAAATCTCGATGAAAGTGAAGCGATGTCCGACAGAGGTGTGTTGCAAGCAGTTTCATTAGGATTGTGTATTATAATTAAAACTTACATGTCGTAAACTTCGTAATGGGCCTTAGTTGGGTGGTCCGCTTTACAGTGTAATTTCCTGCGTGGTTACTTAATGCCATAAATGAGATGAGATGGTCGGTTCCCTAAATTTTGACCTATTTTGAGGTCAGTGAATGACTTGCTTTTGCATGGCCCCTTTGCGTGTGCTGAATGTGTCACACAATCCATTTTATAATGCAGAGTCGGTATGCCTGTTGTATGTCTAGAATAGGGAGCGTGACTAAAATGTGCGCTGGAATTTTAGCGATTCCCTAAAGAGTTATGACCAAGCAAATACTAACTTTTCCTCATAACAAATAGGCTGACCGGTATTGCAAGCCACTTCATTCCCAATTATCATTTTGCATTTTCTTCTATTGATTTGGTCGGTCTCCTGTTTTTGCAATCCCAGGGTATCTTGTCGGTCAATTTCATATGAAATAACGACAAGGTACTTAATTTCTTAAGTAGATGTTAATTATTGTCCCCAACCGTGTGGAGCCTCGCGCCGTGAGTTAAAATCAAAGTTGAAAATTTATAACAGAAAAATTGTCTAACTGGAATCTGATGTGCGACTCAATTATAGCAATTACCGACGCTGTAATAACTCAGTCATTGATCATATCTTTGCTGACTGGTGTCGTGGAAAATTGAAAGCGGCGCTTTCAACTCCCCCTCGCAGAACCTGTGCGCCGTGCTGCTTGGAAAGACAGATCTTATAAGACAGTTACTACTCTCAATTAAAGCATTCACTTTTTATGTTGCCACCACCAATAATTGTTGCGTTATCAAAAATGAGGTGCGGACATTAACGCGTAATGGCTTGACGTGATGTAAATTGCAGAGTAAATTTCTACTCTTGGTAAGTGTACAAATTCAACAGTCACTTGTTCTACTCGTATAAATAGGCATTCGTTTTGTACTAAGAAACTTTTCGCTCCAACTTTTTGGGCATTTTTAATGATTCATAATTAAATGGAAGAAATTCAACACCACCCGGGCATGTACGATAATCGTGTAACCAGCTTTTTTATCGACTAACAAATTTTACAGCCTTTATTTCCCATAAGCTGGTTCAGCATCATCTTCATTGACGCAAGATTTGCTTGCAGTTTACATGATTTTTAATTATTTTGGCTACTTAGTACCTTCTCGGTGCTTCTTTTAAATACGTACTTGAAAAAGGCTCGAAAACATTTGTCCGGTTAGTTTTCACATCTTCGTAATAAACCGGCATATTTTTAAATTGTTTTTCTGTACTAGGTTTCTTTTCCGATCAAGTAAATGCTTGCCATTATTTTGTCTAACAGGACAAGCCTTAATTAAAATCCAGGCTTGAAAGAAAGCTTACGGAAAAATCTAGATACTTAGGCCACGCTTTAAATTTTCGGTTTTTAAATACGAGGTGTGCAATATAAATTGTAATTTAAATAACCCATGTAGATGGTCTCGGGAATCGGTCGCACTGGCACCAAAAATTAAGCTGTGTTAGCCGCATTTCAATACAACTAGTAGAATCTGTGCCAAAGGTATATTTCATTGTTTTCACGTGTGTCCTCTGATATCGCCATGTGCGTTAAGGACGATTTTTGCAGAGGAAATTTCAGAAAACCGCCTGGTTAGTGCAGCTTTCTTTGTCGCCATGCTTAATTAAATGAAGTAGTCGCCAAGATTGACTGAGGTGCGTTTGTGGTAAGCGCTTGAGGGTGACCGCATTACAACAACACCCCACCGCCACCTTCCTGCAAGCCGCTGTCCGCAACACATGCTGCCTGTTTTGTTCTCCCTCGCTAGACCACGCCCTCGCTTTTTGCTGATTTGCAAATCGAAGTAACACGGCGTGCAGTCTTAACATTTGTGTATCAAATTAGCGAGAATTTGTCCGACCGACTCGTTCAAACGTGGAATGCACATCTGCCTTTTGTGCACTGCAATTAAATCAGGTCAATGTAATTTATTGCCTTTGCCACTGTGGAGTACAGTCGCCCAAGCTAAGCCACGCAAAAATCCAGTAATTCGACCGTCGATTGACAAAGATAAGACAAAAAGAATTTTTTTTCCGAATTTTCACCGAAAAGTTAAGTGTTAAAAAGTTCATTGTAATACTTGTGCTAAACACATTGCTCAAGCCTGGTGTGAAGAGAATTAAAACAAGATTTGGCTTATTTTAGTCCCAAGAACGAAGCAAGTTAAGGATGCTTTTGCGAAATTAACTTATTGGACAGATACGAACACATTTCACCTAGATTTCTGCGGGAATGTCGAGACAGCACTCCGAAAAACTTATGAAAACCCAAAAATGTGGTGTGTGTAATTGCTTTTAAATCATAAATTATACTCTTCTGAGAAAATTATCACTTTTATTTCCTTATCTAGTGTAGTTTCAAAAATAGCAACAGTGTACTGTGATGAAATGCGATGGCTCCAGATTTCGTCCTCTTGACGCCAAAACTAAAAAATGAAATAACTTGATATATTATTTGGTAAATTTTATAAGTGCAGGATAGTCATATATATACATGGTTAGTGGTATAAGATCAAAATCTTGCCACAGTATTTACTTTATCCAAAGTTGTCGCGGACATACATTCTTTTTAAAAGCAAGCGTAGAAAGACAAAACACCAAACATTAGTTTTTTACAATGCTTCTAACATTAATATCCAAATTTTACAAAATATCTTTCGAAATGCATGTTGGCAGACATATTGCTTCTTCAAACGTTTTACAACACGTTTTAATGTGCGAACTATCGTTGGTAGGATGTACCTACCGAAACTTGTCATTCTAATGTACGTTTAACCTTACGTAGATGTTCCCTTATCGGTCGCATGTCGACGCTTGGCAAGTCGCCGAGCTTCATCATTTGTTACAACAGGCATTGAACTAAGTCAAGTAGTGCCGTATCTATGGAAATGTGGAAACCATGTAGCGTTTTGTTAGCTGGGAAAAGTCAATGAATTGCACCTACATCCTTACCATCATTCAGTTTTAAAAAAACACCATTTTCTGTTTTGTTGCAGTTCAGTGGTTGACGGTGAATTGCTCCTTGTGCAGCCTAACCAAATAGAAGGTGAATATTTCCTCCCCCCATTTCAATATTTGCGTTTGGATTTCAGAAATCCGTCTATTTTGTGTGTTACCAATTATCTATATCACGCACAAATTTGCCTTCTCGAAGGAAATAATAACACACAACTGAGACAACGAACAATGATATTGCATGTGTGGGTTAAGGATCTTGATAAACCTTTTTTAGGTTTTTCCTAGTATTACAAAGAGGGAATCATTGATTTTTGTACATTTACTCCGGTAACATGTAAGAGCCCTTGGGACAATTTCGAAATGCGCTTAAACTCGCAATTACTAGCCTGCTATAACTAATATGAACATCGATTTTTTTTACTAATATCATGACACTGTAAAGGAAAAGGGAGTAATTTTGTGGGAGCCAGCTTTATAAGTATTTTGCTTTATTTAAGTTGCATAATTTTCAAGGAGTTTTGACTACTTCAATTGTTAAAACTGCAAGTTGTTTCCACTACAGGTAGGCAGACTCTAAATTAGATGTTTGATATCGACTGCATCTTATTAGTCAAGCTCTCTGGTGGATCAACTGTATTCGGATTAGGTGCAAAAACTGTAGACAAGTTTATGAAGTACAGGAGCTGACTTTAATTAATCATAGTTAAAAGTTGAACACAGGATATTGTCCCCAGAATACCGTCAAAATACTGAGGTAATGCCCACAATTCATGTTTAAACTAAGATCCAAATGCAGCGAAGTAGCGTATAAGGACAATTTACTACTGCATGTCACACAGCCTGACCTGTCAAGCCAAACAGTGTAGTTCGTTGCGCCTGCTTGGTTTCGGGTAAAGATCAGTGTTATGTTTTACCCGTAACCAAGAGCCACACACTCAGATAATTTGTACCCCAGATCCCATGTCTGACGCGAGACCCCACATTCCCACGCTGATGCAGGACAAGGCCTTGTATAGAAAGGTTTTAAGTTCTCAGTCATCTGTCTGGATGTGCCCACTTATATATGTCAAGGATGACCTTGATCCGATGGACGAAGGCGGATTAACACAGATGGAGCTGTCAGTAGGATGTGGTGGGTGATTCACCCACTGAAATGGCGTAGTCGGGCTAATTGTGCAAACAATGACGTATTCCTAACCCGCAATTAACCGTCTTAGGGAATGCTGGATCCCCAATAATCACGACTCTTATAAGACTCCGAAAATTAATGCGACACAATGCACTTCCTACGAGAAATAGGGCTGAATGTTCAAGAGTCCATTTATCGGAAGTATTTTTATACAGGAACAGTATAAACAAGACATTTACACTTAAAAATATTAGGGAACTTTATTAACGGGCTTTTGTATCTGACTCAGTTAGTCGATTCCTCTTTCCGAATTGTTTCCATTAAAAAATTTGGTCATTTTATTTACATCGTTTTTCATTGGTCAATGCATAATGTGACCTAGAGATTGAGCAGAACAAGGAGGCAATTGTTTTCCGAAATCCGATAATCCAACACATTTATTGATTAATTCCTCATTGATCACCTTTGTGAAATTGTTTGTTGCAACTTTTAAATTCGGTTCGTTTGGAATAATTTGTCAATAATGTAGGGGTTGTGGTGGATTACTTCTTATAGTTCAGAAAAATCCATGCTTCTGATTTTTGGAAGCAAAAGTTGTTGCGATCAAGTCAGGGGAGAATAAAGTGACTGATTTTTATGTTTAAAGACAGGGCTTAACTTCCTAGAATTATGCTGACTTCTAACGTAAGGCTTGTGAAAATTGCATTTTCTTAATTTAGTGAAAAGTATCTTATTCTAGACCCCAACCTTCTTATGCATTTATTAATTTAACTTAACCAGTCAGGCCTTGCGTGCCGTTCCGGAGGGCTTTTTTAAGCTATGCGCTTCGTCGTGCGCATCAGCGATCTGCCATTTCTCGATCTGCAGCTCGGTGCAGGAAATTCCGCGCATGAATTAACCTGGCATGTGCGTCCACTCGCGTGCAGCACTGACCACATTTCTTGCATGGGGATTTAACTTCACTTTCAAATGGCCCAGTTTATTAAAGTAAATTCATTTTACTTAATGCCAGACACTCCACCAGCACAGGTAACTGCGGCGATCAGACTATATTCAGGTTAAATAAAATTTCGTTTTAGTTGGCGGGCATGTGTTTTAATGAGGTAACTGAACCCATTTATTTATAGTCGCAAAGAGATTGTGAAAACCCATATCCAGAGCCCCACCTCCCTCAAAATTCGCCTACAATTGTTACAGATTATCATAGCTGGGGACTGCTTTTGCTCAATATTAAATGGTGATTAAATGAATGCTATTTACTTTGTGTTGTTAAGTTGACTATATCCATGTTATTTCTCGCTCTCGGTTACCGTAGGGCTTTAGAGGACTACCAATTAATAATTTTTGCGGTAAATCTACGATTGTTCGCTCGCGGTGTCAGTCGATTACCGCATTGTAAGTTCAGAACTTTTGTCGTGTTTGGCGATTGGTGGCCAAATGACACACTGGGGCCGCACACTGATCACAAGCTAATTATTCACAAATCTGATCATCGGATTTAGTAAAGTGGCTGGCTTCCTGCCTGCCTGCCTGCCTGCGAGTGAATAAACTGCTGGATGGCCTTTTATTATCGTCTGATGGAGTTATGAGATAGCTTACTTCACACAAGCATCGTAAAATTAATGAAATAGTTATTCACTGATAACCATCAGTACTCGTGAAGAGTGGCTGGAGTTTTTTGGCCTTAAGAACTGTTAGTAGCTGTTGACGTAAAAGTCTAAAATGCCATTATTTTAATTTGTTGGGTTATTTTTAAATGCCATCAGAACAGTTTACTTCCCTGTTTAGTTAGACACAGAGGTGAGTCGCCTTCGGGTCTGCTACATGAGCCAAACGACCTCATGGATATTTGAACCAACCTCGTTGCCACACTCTTAGTGAGTAATATTGTGCACCAAACTATTCAACAGGAAACCATGCGAAGAACTCTAACCCAATCTGTTGCACACACGAAAAATCAAAATTTTGAAGAATGTGCTGCACTGCATTGCTTTGATAAAACGAAGTTCTGGTTTACTAGACCGAATGGACAAGTTCCTAGCCCTGCAGAAAGTGGGGTTTTGCCATCTGTGGGCAAGAAATTACGTTCTGTTCTTTTGCAACCACAGACAATTGCCGAGGTGGGGCTAAAAATATCACTCTCTGCATTTTTCTCGAATCAGATATTTTTTTGTTTGCAAACGTAGTCTGTACCTAGTATTTATATCACAAGATTTTGTTGGGAACTTAGAACAGTCACAAATTATAAGTTAAATATATGCACACATTCCTTTGGTTTGATAATTCCATAAAATTTTGCGAGGGTTGGAAAAATCGCCTAAAATCAAATGACTGAAATACAAGCGATAGATTGGTATCTCTCAACTCATTATAGGACTTTATAGTATCGAAGAAACTTTCATATAATGTCGGAGACGAAGGCTGTAAATTTAAGGCTTCTTCACTTATGTGGCCCTGTTACTTTAAGCTACACAGGCATTTTCGTGGAACTATTTTTTTCACGGTAGGCCGTATTTATTATATTTTTATAATGGAATCAATACGATTTCCAGAAGTGAAGTAGAAAAATCGACAAAAATGAAAATGTAAGTTAGGATGCGTGGCAAAGATTAGCCAAATGGGTGACCAATCACCAAACCAAGTCAGCATTCTGGCCACTCTTTCATAAAATATTCAAACAGATGTCCACATGGTGATTCAATTTTCCTTTATAGTTTATAATTTATTAACTTTAAAAGTTAAAAGGGGAATTGTCCTGAAGTTACCTTAAAAAATGCATGTGCCTACAAAGATGAAAGCTGATCATGAAGAGATAATCGACAAAGGACCAGATAATACTACGAAACCGCTTTGATTGCGCCTACGTCTACACATCCAACTAAAATAACAACATAAGACTAGCGAATGGTTTTGGATGCCACGTAGTTTGAAAACAAATTAGAACTTAGAAATCGGCTACAAAAAATATCCGAATTGGCATAAACATATCTGTCAATGTGCTTTATTGGATGCCACATAGAAGTCGCTAATCTAGAATTAAGCCTAATAAATTTTTTCCTATGAATTAAAATCAAACAAAAAAGTTCATTGATGCTATATTAAAAAGGTGATTTAAGGCTTTGTAGGGCACCCATTTAATTAACTAAAAATTACGAATGCCTAGATAGCACCGCGAATGGGTAATGGGGGCAGCTGGATTCAGAATGCAAAAGCATGTTTGGATGCACCCGTGGTTGGGCTTTCCTGCGTGCGCGCTTGTCAGGCAATGGCGGAGACCCGCAGCCAGGGATCGATCGCCGACCACGTGACCGTTAAGTGTACCGTTCTGATAGGTCATTTGGCCTGCACAAACGTGCATTCTACGTGCGTACGTGTCTTACCCTCTTCGGGACATGGTGTGTGCGTGCGTTTGTGAAGGGACGTGATAACGGGGAGGGTTATTTCGGAAAATGAAAATTCTTGCCTAACTGTTGTTGCATTTTCGAATTGGATTATTCAGCCGTCCATCGACAAAGAGGACAACTCTAGTCACAGCCCGGCTTTGAAAACAAGCCATGCAAACAGTAGAGCACGTCATCCGCATGAGGCAGGGCCCACCATGGGGCTTCAGGCTAGCGGACACCTTCAATGGCGGTCTAATCGTTTCCCAAGTAAGCGAGAAATTCTCCGTATCATATTTTGTTGTCCCGGTTTAAAGCACATCACAAACATTGCAATGTGTTAATGGTACTTCTGTGCTCGAACTTCTGTGGCATATTCTTAACAGAGAGGAGCTTACACTTAAAAATTAATGTATGTAAGAGTTGTCTGTCATCTCGTTTTTTCACATGACCTATTTATCCCTGGAATTCGTAAGCAGTGTCCAACACAGGAACTCGTCTTGGTTGATTAGTGTTGAGACTGCCACAACACACTTAAGGAATATCAACCGAAACAGGTATTATCAGAACTAAATCAAATCCTGCTACCATATCTGACACACACAATGCAGCTTTTGCTTGCACATAAATTCAAAATCATGCACATTTATCTGATTTAAATGGGCATGATGACATAACCAGCAAATTTACGGACCGTCTGGGAAGCTGATGGCGTCGTGAACTGCGACAGATTACCCTTTTGGCTCTAATTGGCGTCAGTCCGATAATTCTTATAGCACTTTCATCCAGTCTTGCTCAACCGTTAAATAATTGATGTTGAGATCCGATGTGAGATGCAAATCCACATCATGACACCCGATTACCTGAGGGCCGGGCACGAAATGCAGATTTTCGAGGAGAATAAGAAGGGTAAAGTTAATGGGAATTCGACCACTTGCTATGTCTTTCGACCATATTGGCGCGTACTGCAATCGTTTTTCAGTCGTAGACGCACACCTTGGCAATGTCCGTTGGTGGTCTTAATCAATAGACGTTGGGCGGTAGATCGATACGCCAGGACACGCGTGACTCGACAGCCGCCTTCACTACGCTTACGATAATTTCAGGTTAAATAGACGCCATCCATGGGAAAAACGGCCAAACAAATGTTAGGAATGAGGATTTCACGAGTTGTGGCCGAGTCTCGGGGATTCTGAAGAAAACCGCTTTTCTGTGTAGCAAGCGATCAGCAGACTAAACCCACGCCTTGACTTGGGCTTGGCCCGTAGATATTAAAGTATCTTTTTACGACGTCTCTTTTTTAACTTATGGCATTGTTAGTGCACAGTCCATTACAAAATTAATTTCGTAGCTGTCTAATTGCACCATTCTTTCTTCGCCACACAAAGATGAGTGTCTTCCATTTGCATTAGTAGAAATCAGGTAATGCAAAGTCGTAATGCACACTGGAAGCAAATTAATTACCCCACCCATCCGTTGATTTTGTTTTAAGGCTCTGAACATAACCGCCCAATTATTTTTGCGGTTGCATAAGTTGCTTGACCATCAAGACGCTTACTATGGCAGGAAACATCGAGTTAAAATTAATTTTATCAGCAACCTCATGTTCCATTTCTGCTGACTTAAATGAGGGACTAAGCAGTTCCCTCTTGAGGACAAACTGGCCGTCTAGGTTCCTCAAAAGTTTATTTGCTGTTTTAAATGTAGCACAAATTATTCTGGCCTTGAGCAAGTGCTTTTTTCATCGAAGTTTATCAGAACGTATAGAGTTCCCACTGACAGTACAGCCCTAAGGAGAGTTCTTTTCTTGACCTTAATAACTGGAAACTCAGAGTTGTGTTCTTTTCTACCTAAATTTTCACATTGCAAGGCTGTCAACATGATTTGGTGCAAATATTAGCCACAAGGTGTGATCTCTTCTTTGGCAAGATGACATGGAAACGATAATCTACTTCTTAATATGCTATTTTTTCTCTATCGCATCATGATAAAATTACTTGGGGTTAAATGCCTCATTAGTTGTCCATGAAGTGGTGGGAATCCAACTGACAGTTCCAATGTACAACCTCTGTCAATAACACTCCGAATGGGCGATTAGTGTGCCCTTAGTTTTGTTACTCGGATTAATTAATATGGCACGATGAGGTGATGGACCACACAACTCACCGACATAAATGCTCTTCAAGCTGACAAACTGTGCTGTCGTATGGTGTATAACCACCATTACGCCTCTTCAGGTGCAACCAGCATATGAAGTATGTGGAAAATTCTAATCAAAATCCTGAGGTATGATGGGTTTATTCCTTTTAATTTAAATTTATTAATAAACTTTTAAAATCAATCAAGCTCTGCATTTCTTCAAGTTTCGCAGACGCTTTAAAAAGTTTAAATGCGTAAAAGTAGAAGTTTAAGTAGCTTATATCCTCTGGCTAGACTTGCACCCCAGTAGAGAGAAAACGTCTATCGTGCTAGATATTGTTCTTTTTGGAATTTAGATTCGAAGACAAAGCCCAGCCGAAATGGCGGGTCTTCGGGAAAATGATGTCGTCGTTGCCATTAATAACATTTCAACCAGGGGTCTGAACAGAACATACGCAATTAACATCATCAATAATGCCGACTATCAATTGGACCTCATTGTTCAAAGGTAAGAAATAGCTAACCACTAACTTTTCTTCCGACTCCCTTGGATTCTTCTTGGGATCAACAAGAGGTAGCATTTAATCTAATGGTGCTGTCTTGGTGGCATCATTTGGATGTAAATTTTTACGATACATGAGTTGTAAGCTAAATGCTTCCATCACTAATCTGTGTGTAAGACCTCACGAACTTCAGTTAAGCTGCTGGCGTTGTTGCCTGACGGGCATGCTGTGAAAGCGGAATCAGCGAATCCGCGCGGTTCACGACAGCATTGGTGCTGGCATAGACAGAATCAAAAGTCACAGAAATCGCAGGGCGCTCATTTAGTTAGCGTTAAAGCACATCGTGTTCCAACAGCAGTCCTCTTGTGACCGTCGGTGGGTTGTCGTACTCGGGCCAGCCGACGCCTTGCCAGGTGTCGGTGTTCACGAAACCACTAGAACCACTCCATACAACACGCGGACTGCACGACGAGTTAACCACTGCGGGCTCATCGCACACGTTTTTAATTTTAATGCTGACAAAAAAGCTACGCCAACATCTAAAGGGTTTGGACTAAACAATTAACCTGAGTGAGTGTGTACATTGGAATTTTCCCACCACAATGTTAAATACGTTTTCCTGAAGCTTCTTTTAAGCAGTGTTGTGAATGGTTCTTCAGGTTAAAACGGGACATATCCACTCTAATTACATTCTGGATAAGTTAATGGTGAATGTCGAGTGGGATCAGCACGGGTATTTGTGTTTTAAGGCAGGTTGAGCTAATTTTACATTCCTTATTTTGAAAATATCTTCGCTTGGTGCATATATGACAAGATGGATACATTCACTCTACTGAAAATCCCCCATACACCAACCGAATCCCATGTTTCCTCTCAAACATTTAAATTAAAAATAAACCCTTACATTCAAAATATAATGAGGGTTTAATTTTGCTTTGCATGTGGTAGTTGAGGTCTTCAAGATGCCATCATACAAGCTATAGTTTGTTTTTAACGCAAAAAATGTATGCCATTTTTTTTATACGTCTGTCCCTGTACACTTAGCGAAGGATTTGTTATTAAACTGGATGAATTTTAGACATGCCCACCTACATTTACTGTGGGACTCTAAATGTAAATGCTTAAATTTCCTGTGCATTTCACAAATGTACGCAACTGAGCCGACGTCTTACAAAATCAAACCAATCTAAAATTGTCTGTTTATGCTTTAGGCAAGAACGCCGCAAGCCACAAATGATGACTTTCTTCCTCGACACGAGCGCTGCCCGAGGTCAATTGGTGCGCCAGGAAATGGCGTCGCGTGACCTTGACATTACCTGGAGGAAAGAGCCCTCGCCGCCACCGCCACCGCCTCCTCCTCCTCCAGAGCCGCCTCGCATTGTGCCCGCTGATCCCAACGTCACCCCAGTGTCCTTTGACCGCCTCATGAAGAAGTACGACGTCCCTCAGGCGGCACCGTCTTTCAAAAGTATGTTACGTTTTCAAATGAAATACCAAAGCAAAGACGTAAAAAGGAACTTGCCACTTTTGCGAAGTCTTGCTCCATCGTCAGAATTCAAAATGTGAAGAGATTCGCTGTTCCTAAACTAAGCACACTTTTCTATTCAAAATTTATGTTAAAGATTTTGGATTACGGTGTATTAAACAAAAATCAGACCATCGCAAAAATATGTGTGTACCAGCAGCGTTGATATAAATGTCTTTGTTTTAAGGCACTAACAGTTATTTATCGCTAACACCTTTGATTTCGTTAATGCAAAGTAGCACGTGATGCTCTGGCTTTCGTGTCATTTACCATTAAATACAAAAGTGCAACCTGATCGCATTTAATGACCGCATTCAGAATTGGTTCAAATTTGAGTCAGAAATAACCGGTCTGATAGGTGGTCATTTTCAGTCGAAGCGTTCTGTGTAAATGCATTTCACCAGAGTCGCTTTACCTTGTTTGTTTGTTTCTGATGTGCAGGAAAGTGTATATGTTTCAAACAGAGCATTGAGCTGCATTATTGGCAGAGACTAATACTTAAGCGCCGGTGGCTAACTAACGCGTATTAATTGTACAACCAATTTACCCGACAGGCAATAAGTGAGAATTTACCGCAGATTTCAAATAAGCATGAATAAATATTTAGAGAAACGACAGCTAGTCTTCCTCGCTGCCATGAGTAGTAAGATTCGTCCGACGATTTTGTAGCACGTGGAAGACCAATGGCGGTTTGCAGCTTGCAGCATAATTAGCTGCTTGTGGGTGCTTGTTCGCGGATCCCTCGAAAGTCCACAAGACGAGTTTCGTCAGAACATGTCATCTGTCAAAGTTCTATTGCAAAACTGTTGCACAACGCCTAATCGAAATTGCATCACCCACGCTTGCTCCACTCATTGAATGACATTGAGTGTGGCCCTCGTAAAGATTTCTCTCAAGCTTTTCGGCATCTCCTAGGGGAAAACGTCATTTTCCTAGGGGCACTTATTCGTGTGTACTGCAACTTGCTTCCTGTACAAATACCAACGAAAACTTGCCAACTTGTTGGCTGCTCTCATGTGCACAGCTTATAACCGAAATGAAGAATTCAGTCGGCATGTTGAGCGCTTACTCCAATTGTTCTCTATTCGACTTTTGTGGCAAACGCATTTGATTTAATAAGGTGTGAGCTAAGTAATAAAAAAATTTGCCATCTTAGGCAAAAAGTTTTAACTACTTATACGAGTGGATTAAACCACATCGCTTGATAATTTGGCTTGTCACGTAATTAAGTTAAACGAATAGTTTGTTAATGACGGGAACTTAATGCCCCTTAACTTTAAGGGGCGCTTTGTAAACAAAATTGTGTAAGTATGAAATTATCTGCATGCTCACAGAATGCTCATAATTAGCGCGTTGAGATTTACTAAAATTTGCCTGATAAAGGCAGGTACATGTGCTATTAACTTGATTATTGTGTAATGGAGGTATAAATGTCTCATTCTCATTCTGGTGCGTTTTTGTGCTCCACTCTAAGTAAGCGACTAGACGCATTGGGTAAATTTTAATGAACAGCATAGACACGAAACGATAAATCGGTATTCTTTGTTTATTACTGCCATTGTTGCCTTAGTTTTGGAACACAAAGCCATAAATTCATACATAAATATTTCTTTGTATTCTGCCTGCTGTTATTTTTATTTAATAGATAATTATATCCCGAATTCAAAAATCGGCGATTTTTTTTATCTTGTTCGGTTTGCGGTAACTATCTGGCCTCCATGTCATAACTACTGATATTTAACGAACCATCCGCCTACACGCAAGCACTTTCTTAATCAGCCAGAACGGGCTTTAAGCCAGTACACACAAAAATACCAGCATGATTGTTTTTCTGCCTTCTGGCGATGCCTGGCGACACCAAGCCGCTCCTCTGACTTCTGGGCTCCGGATGCGACCTTAAAATCGGCCTCTACAGGACAACCCGATTGGTCGATTTGCCGTCTTAAATTAAATTAGTAAGCATTACACCAAACACCGTAAAACGGAGCTATACAATGATAATTGAAGCAACAGAAAATGGTTTAAAATACAATTTGATTCTGTTACATGATGAATCAGATGAGATGCTTACATCAAAATATTCCTCTTGAAGCATTTTACTGAGCATCTGTAAATTTTACGCTGAGAGAAGTGCCTTGTGAGAAGTTACTAAAATTGCCCAGATTCATGTGTCAATCGCATGCTGCATTAGTTTACATTCCACATCTATCACAGGTGAATGCAATTCACCAGTTTTCGAATTATTAGCCTCATCTTAGTGGTTCCTACACTGATGTCCATTTGGTAACATTTCGGTCACCTTTGACAATACGTGGAGTACACGCTGTCCGACCTCACTCCCTGCCATTCAGTGTTTGCCGTTACTCAATTCCTCCCTGTTCCTCACAGTGTTGTGCGGTTGTACGGCATTGAAAACTTTACTTGCATTCGTGCAAACACTTCTGGACGCGACGAATTTCCTTCAAGGTGGTTTTCTCGAATCTCAGGCTGGAGATGCTTGCACTGTGTTCTATTCACTTCTCAAATCATGTAAAGTACCCGCGCCAAACCTGTTAAGAAAGACGACTCTAAATCCACATCCCTCCACCAAAACTTTATCGGAACATGATATGATGATCTTCATCTGTCTCCCTATATAGACGTAGGAGCACGTGCCGTAATAAGGAGGGGTTAACTCTGCACGTGACCAAATAACCTGAAGTTTTGCATTAACTTCTGCTCGCCTTCTTCACCTTAGAACGCACTTTTGCAAACTCGGCCTTCTATGCAGGCACGAACGTATTCTATCCGAGTGTTGAGGAGCAAATTGAGATGGCACGACGTGTGGCGAAGAGCATTGAGGCCCCTGTTAATCAGGGCTCTCGCGGGGCACAGATTTTCGAGGCGCAGCAGCAGCGCGCGGAGAAATACGTCAAAGAAGGACCAGAGCCAGTTCCTGATCCTTTCGAAAACGTTAGTGCGGTTTAGCCGATAGCATGACGAAGCATGTGCCGTCGCATGGCCTACTAGGCATGCTGCACGTCCTTGTGGCCTGCGCCTGATCAAATGAGTTCTTCAGTGTCTGACAGTCATCTCGGCAAAATACCCACCAGTCGAGATGAAACCGTTATATGTACTTTTAACATATTTTGTGTGAAATAAGAAAAACAGCACAACCTACTTAAGGTAAACCACAGCGCATGACACAGGATAGTTTCGTGTTGAGAATTCTAAAAAAAGAAAAGTTGAAATGAGCTTCTGGAAACCTCACAAGTTAAACTAAAACCTTAACCTAGATGATGAAAACCTTGGGATTTCGTGCCAGTTGAACGTTTGAGAGTATGCGATTCTTCTAAATACTCACTTTTATGCGTTTTATAATTTGACCAAATAAAGAATCGTAGCTTACCTAGTCGCATGGTCTTATTGTTGAGTCATTGTAAGAAAGCGTTGGTAGACGTCGTGTTAGCAGCATGCATGTGCCGAAAGGACAGCCTCCTCCGCTCGGTGCCTTTGTCCCCTTTGCCTGCTTCCTTTTTTCGAGATGCGCAGTCAAACTGCCGTCAGCAGCTTATCCCCCCTCTAATCAATTACAATGATGCTAAACATAAGTTTGATTACATAGCCTTAATTGTTTCTAATGACTTGCCGCCGACCACTAACAGGCCACCGCACAGCAACTCGAGTACATGATACCGCCGGCTCCTCCGCCTCCTCCGGCACCCACTGCTCCCAGTTTTCCCAGCCTCACCTCCAGTATTCCTCCTGCACCTCCTCCGCCACCACCTCCACCCGGTCAGCCACGGTCTGTGCAGGAATTCATTGAGAAAATTCGTCGATTCCCCAAAAACACCCACATGGAGATATCGCCACAGGTTTGCTTTGATATAGCTGCAGCATTGCACACCTCTGGCAGCCGTGGAGGATCAATGTTCGCGAAGAGGAAGGCAAAGGCGCAGAACTGGGAAATCGAAAATACAGGGGTCCCCGTCCCGGTCTTGACGGCCCAACATGTCGAGAAGCCCAAGCTGGTATCGAAGTTGGAGCAGCAGCATCAACAGACGTATCAGCAGCAGCATCATCCAGTCCTGCCACAACAGCAGAAACGCACCTCGCTTACCGCACTTGGTCGGCTAAATGAAGCACCACTAAGACCCCAGCCGCCCAATTTGGGTAAGTTAAATGTGGCGATTGGCTTCGGGTTTCAGTGTTTTACTGCGATTTCTGGCCCACGCTTACAGGTGTGATTGAGAAGTAGTTTCTGAAGGCACTGAAAGGAAAGTGCTACTTCGTTCTCAGGTCAGTCTCCGATGGTGAGACTTACCATTTCGCTCACCGAAGGGCCCTCAATGTCAAACTACGCCTCCCCGGCACCGGCAGGAACTCTTAACACTTGTATTCCGAAGCAGCTGTTGCGACGCCGTATACCACTAACTACCCAACAAGAATGAAATCTGAGGAAGGAGAGAGAGACAACCGTTTATTCGAGAACTTGACGCAGCAGTGGTGGTGTTTGGGATTTGCGCATGTGTATTTATACCTCGGAAATACGCTAACATTGAGACCTAGGTGTGAGGATAATCCAAGATAGATATTCATGCGAATGAGGGGGGAGTTGAGGATCCGCGCGACTGGCGACATGCTGCAAAAAGGGGAACCATGTGTCGGAGGTTGAGCGACCGAAATTAGGGGGTGTGAATAAACACGATCCTGCTCGGTTCATTAGTGCGCCATGAAATTGGTGTATTAATAATCAGTACCAAACTCAATAGGCTCGATTGAGTGGTGTTACTTATGATTGCGCCGTTAACCACATGCACCGAAACACATTTGAAAGCACGCGTTCTCCCGACAATTTTTGTCAATACAACATCATTGACGCGGTTCTTGACGCTTCGTATGTTGTATTTACACAAAATTTTTGATACTAACAAGCTAACCACAACTATAGGCATTAGTCATGACTAGCTTACTCCTAATAAGACCACAATTAAAAATCCGAAATCAAGTCGCATACAGAGTGCTAGGTACACGTTCAAAGCGCTGTGTCCTCATGTCGTTTCGTCGGCCTCAACAGAATGGGGATTTCTCAAAAGAATTGTATAATCAATTCAACAGATAGGAGGACTCACTAGAGCCCAGTTCATAGTCACGTTTAATGGTCAGCAGAAAGAAGCACAGTTGGGCAGCCAAGTCCCAAAGGAAAGAAGAGGAAGAAGAACATGTAACGATCCTTGTGTGAGTTTCGAACCACACCGGAGCCGCTAGGTTGTGTAGGCTTGCTTATGCCAGAGACGATGTAAATGCAGCTGTTAAATAGATCGCTTGGCACAGTTGCGTGTGCGTGTGTGCGTACACGATGGTTTGGATGCTTCCAGATCAGATGTACGCAAGGGACATGTTCCCGCGGCTTCATGCTAAGACGTGTGCACATAACCGACGAAGACGATAATATGAGGAGGGACAGAACAGACATGGGGTGTCTGGGCATGTGTTGACAGGGTCCTGGTGAGCGCAAACCATCACGAGTCGCCACAGCCACTTCGGTTGGCACCGTCTAGTACTGGCACATTACCAGTTCGGAAGGGCCAAAGCACGACTTTCTGTAAGTGACTGCTATTGATGGTTTTGTTTAGCAATAAGGAAACTTGGGTTTTTATTTGCAGGTTCTGCATTAGGCAATTCTACAAGGGCGTCTCCTATTGTTAACAGAGGCCACATCACCCTTATCTATCTTTCACTAAATGTCTGTGGAGAATGCCTCAATCGTTAAGCACCATTAATGATTATACTAGGTCTAATCAAACGAAATTTCCTGCAGGACTAATTTGAAGAAAAATCCTCTGCGGTAATAGTGAAAATACAATTGATAGATTTAATCGTTTTTTGTTCAGTAGCTCAGATTAAGCCTATCGGTTTTACAGATTTTGCTTCAATCTAATGTGGAAGTGCATTGGTCATGCATCGTTACATCATTTGAACTTACATCCACCTCATGCAAATGACTCCCACCACGGCTCGCAATTTTTAAATTAAATAATGAAGGAGCATTGAGGATCACAAAAGTTTCTGCCATCCAAATTTGAAAGCTATTGGTTAATCAAACTTACAGGGAATGCAGTTTCTATTACAGAATGTGCTGTTAGTGTTTCCGGATGTGTATGTCTTATTTCCTGTAATAACGTTCTAGGGCTCGCAAATTTAAGTATGTGTATGTTATGGTAAACAGATCAGTTCTATTTCATGAAGACGATTGCTTGCACGTTGTGACCCATCAACGTTGTTTTCCATTTATCGTTAGGTTATATGCTTTGCCTCCTAAATAAGTGCCTAAAATGTCTTCACGCATCATGTCATCAATTTCATTTACTGCTTATGGCTTTATTGATAATATATTATTAAGTGCAATCTGGCTCTCTAAAGAGGACTGAGGAAGTTGACCCTTAAGGAAATTCAAATGCACCATTAACAGTATTTTTTACTTGATTAGTTCCATCTACGGTGTCCGCGAAATGGCAAAACAGTAATCCGGATGAATCGACCAATTTACCGTCAGCCAACCCACCGCCTACGACACAGACCGTTAGCAAACCTACCTGGAGACCTGTCAAGTTTAATATACCCCAAAAGGCCTCTTAGATTCGCCGGAAAAGAATTGAGCATCAGGTAATAACCACATGCGCAGACGCAGCGTTCGGAGACGTCCACTCTTTCGCACACATGGCCTTCCTCCACACACACTTTTCACTCTCGTGCTGTTATCGCAACCAGGAGATTCTGCTTGCCTGCCCTCCTTTCTGCCAAAGCGTTTTTCTGCAAATTAGCTTCACCTCTGATAAAAAAATACTGACTACCACGTGATGTCTTTTGGAGAGCGCAGGTGCTTTCCGACCAATCAGGGCTGCTCGTGCTTTTTGACGAAGTCGATACAAGCACGCGGTTAAGGGGGCAGGTCTGTGTGTGGCTGTGCCTTCAGGTTTCCGTCGTAATTAGCCGGCGTCATCAAATTGAGTAATAGAGAATCGGATCTTTTCACGAGCGGGGACTACAGCCCCCCTTTTCACGTCAATTTAAATGTAAGGACGCTCAGAAAGTCCAACCCAGTAGACAACTCGAGCGCTGTGGCGACAGATTAAATGGAAATAAGTGCTAGGAGGGGCATTCATCAAGACAGGGCAGCTAACGATCGTCTTTGAGTTCTTCGGCTAGAATGTCAAGTTAAGATCCAAAATTTAATCGCACCCAAAACGACATCACAAACGGAACCACTTATTCCGTGAGACGTGCGTGTCGTACTAGTCTGGTCGGGGAGAATATCAACGGCGCAGTTACCTAAATCCACTAGGCAAACACTTCACAGACGCCTATGGCTAACATTTAAAACACTACAATCAGGCAAGTAAGGACTCATTGTGACATCAAAACTCAGGTCCAGGTAAAGGGAATGAAAATAATTGCAGTGGCTCGTGGTAAGACTTAAGTCCTGAGCATCTTCGTATCTCCCCATTATCAATCAAAAAGACCTCAAAACGTGCCTCTTGTGTTTCAGCAGTTTAGTGCAATCAGGCTCAAATGCCCAGAAATCGTGAATATCACAACTGAAAAGTGCTGGCAGTCCTTCACACTCTTTTCTGCCACAATGGATAGTTCTCCCGTTCCATCTGTATCTGGGAATAGAAGCTTTGATCTCTTGTACATGTTTACGTGATTGCCGCCAATGGCGTATTATGCCCACATGGTTTTGGCTTGCAGAAACCGAAAATTTCTGCTACCAACTCATTAGTATCTTCCCACATATTTCCTAAATTTATAGTCTTCACGTTGGCCTAACAAAAAATTTTTAATATATTTGGATGCGACAGTGCTATTTAAATTAACACATGGAAATAGACTATCGCAAGTTTTTTCAGGCTGTAATTCAGGCGTATGAAACTAAGAATAGTCCTCATGAAGTCGAGAAACGTTGGATCTCGTGGATGAGATAGCCCAAATTTATCAAAATTTGACTCCTAATTGATCCGAAACTAATTGCTAATTGTGAACACTCAGGCTTTTCCAAAAATACTCAAATTTATTTTTTGCGGCATTTTCTAAAAACATGCATTACCGTCATAATTATTAAGAGCTATTCTTGCGACTTGCTGCAAATATTAGTTAAGGATTTGAAGTCAACTAAATTTAGCTAACCCAAAGTACTGAGCAGTCAAAACAACGTCACGTCAACCAACTATTCGCACTTTGAATTCAGAATGCATTTCACTCTAACGTTAATGGTTCTACACTCTAAATTAATTAAAGTTGCAAACTAAGCCAACCGCCTCTTTGGCTAACAACGATTAAATTTATGGTTTTGAAAATTACGCCCAAGTATTTGATTTACATTAAGGCAACAAAATTGTCTCGACGGGCAAAACACAGTCGGTCCCGTGATGCGTTGCCTCGGGTTCCTCCCCCCTGCGGCAGAGCCCTCAACGCGACATTTAACTGCCCCATTAATGCGAATGTTAAACTAGTGCTTGATTTAAAATGTTGCACCTTCATTGCTCCCACCAGATGAGGTTGTTGTTGATGGCCATTTTGGTAAGACCGGCAGACACCAACGGATCCTCGTGCATTCGTAGGCAGCACGCATTCCCACCTTGGAGCTGGATGCAACGCTGTATGACTTGGTTGCTATTACGCTTACCACGCACACTCTTTGTCCGAACAAGATGCTTGTCGGCTGAAATAATTTAACATATGCGTGTCCACAAAAGTGGTACGCCTAATCACCACAATTTACCATTTTTAACATTAGTACGAAATGCTTATGAACCAGTTGTGTAATTATTAAGAAAGATGAAAAGAAATTCTCGTTCGTCTTATCAAAAAAATGGTCCTAGAAGCGTTGGGGATCTTAAAAACCAAAAAATGTGCCCACTTATTCGATTTCTTGAATGATGTGGTGCCATTTGCTTGAGTATAATAAGTGAGCCTTGACCAAAGTTTGTCGATCCTATTATTAAACCATGAAATTTTATACGTTACAAACACAATTATGTGCTCGTTGCAAAGAACTAATAAAAATCCGATATAATATTGGAAATTCATGGTAAACGGTGATAATGGTAACTCCAACACTTCAGGTCAAATTGAGATCACAGAAATGCTTATTAAAGGTGCGTCAGCGTCGTCGTCTACTTATCATCCTGCCTCAAAATATCCCTCGTTTTCTTAAATTTAGGTACTACTTATAGTAGATAACCACTCCCGATGTGCTGACGATACTAGTACCAATTATATTTAAAAGTTTAAAGTTAATAGCGTATGATTGTTTTCACAAATCTGAGCAAAGTAATCTACACTCCTCTGACATTGCAGAAGATCTGGTTTTATTAACTGCATGAAGAGTGTAGGTTATTGATGGTTGGCCGCAGGTTAATAATTCATTTGGGCACTATACTACTGTCCTGCTTGAATACCTACCCACACTGCATAAAAGGACTAATTAAGGCATTTATTTTTTTCAAGTTCCCCTTTAGTTCATAAAATGTGACTACAATTACCGTCATTTTTCGACTGTGGGTCACTACGTGTGCCCAGTGCGATTAAAAATGAAAAGCGACATTTCCATCTCACCGACCGTTAGCTCAACCGGAAACATTTTGGTAAACACTACGACAAGGAGTTTGCACTTCACGGTCTTTCTGAAGTTCGCTAACACGTTCAAAATCCATCACATTGCAAGACCCTTAAGCGTGCCACTCAAAGCCTCATTCAGCTTGTTTTTTCTGTGGTCAAAGGCAGATCCAGGCAAAATCAGCAAGGATTTTGATTTCGGTCGTGCTCCGTTGAATTTGCAACAGAACCACACTTTGCATCATGTGCTGTTAATCGATAAAAGAGTTATTTGGTATCGACGGCTTTGAATGCACTTGAGATTTTTTAGATAAGGTCAAGTGGATCACTGCAACTTGGAAACTGAAAATTTGCAATTCGAGCGTTCATTTAATTCGAAGTATATTCTTTTAGGCTAAAGCGTGCTCCATTATCAGATTGATCTCAATAATAGTAACGAACTTGCGTGTCTTAAGCAATTACCTCCGGACCTCAAACAATTTCTTATTTTTGACACTCGCGTGCCATTCAATATATCTCATTTTATCAGATTCGTGCCTAGATCACGGGACGCTCCCTAAGAGAATAAATGCCCATATCCTTCATAAATTGCCAAATAGGATTAGATATTTGCATCAATTCTCAAGTGGCTGTTGATTCACCAAATAACTTAAACGTCCCCACGTTTATGTTTCACATTTGTTTTGATGCGCTAAAAACTTAACCTTCTCAAAACTGATCGAGCCAGATTCAACTTTTGTGTTTTACAAGTGAAATAGAGCAGGCACCGGTTTGTGGATTATTTGTTACTTCAAAGTATTATTTTCAGATTTCACTTCCAAGTACCTCTTTGTGGGGCAGGATCGTAGAAACTAGGAAAGTCACACTCTTCTGTATTGGTCACAAACGCACACAAATGAAATAGGTGCAGTGGACGCTCTTACAAACGCTTGCTGTGGTCAGTCATTAATTTTCCTTCTGAATGTCTGTTGATTTAAGCACTTTGGGTAGAAGAGGAAATAACTTGAGACATTAACGCCTGCCTAGTTAGTTAACATTTGCACTTTGGATGAAAACAGCTAATGGTCCTTGCGAAGAAATTCACAAAGTGGCAGTTCTTGTGGATTCTCCACCAATTTCTAAACCTCAAAATTCAAGCATATTTTTAGTGGGTGTAAAATCATTGCACCTACGTACGCGAGTTGCATAGCAAAGAAGCGTTTGCGAAGATTCCATTTAATCAGTCCTCACTGCCTAAGCTTATCAATCGTAATCTGAAAATTACAATAAATTGGTGACTCGTAGTTCTTGAAGCTTGCAAAAGATGACAATGGTGCCGATGTAGCATGTTAGTCAATAAGAGATACATTTTTTGTATAAAATAATATAACAAAATTTTGTCTGCTTATTCACATACAAAGACAACAAAAATAATATTATGCATGGCGACAGGCTTAAACTGCCTACACAAAACCAACCCTTCTAGTAAGATTTTGATTTCATGTGATGAAAAAGACTTTGTTAATCTTATTGCCACAGACTACTTTAATTAGATGTACAATGATACTTTGGAGGTTCGATTCCAAACTATCTTTAGGGAAATCACCTTTCACTTTCTTTGTAGAGAAAAGAACCGTTTGCTTAATACGAAAATGTTTTTGATGCGCGCTTTTTCTAATGGCTCTTGTTTCAAATACGACCACTCCTTTATTTAGCATTTTGGCTGTGTTGACAAAATAAAAAACAAAACAATTATAGTTTAGGGATTTCCTCGATTCAGGCAAAACATCCTTTCGAAGGTACATCAAGTTACGTCATCTCGTTCGTCATAAAATTTCGGAACATCCGAGGAAATTAATATCCATATTCCTGATGCACTTTTTTCATTTTAATAGGAGTCTCCCTAAATTATCATTTACGGTTTTAAAAATTGCTAAAGCGCACCAAAACACCAATTAATTGCATGGATTTTCGTAATTTTTCCTTTAAGCATGTCGTGCGGCATCAACTGCCTTGAAATAAATCTGGCAATGCCGTAAGTGTAAAGACCTAAATTCACAACAAATGGTTTTGTTCATTTTGAATGGTAGGTACAAAGTCACTGTAGTTACGAATGTGAGAATGCGTTATTTCAATTTAATCCTGCTATTCGATTCGGCTTTTTCAGAATTGATTTCCTATCAGGAAAAAATTAATTCAACTCATTTCCTCAGCGCACTTCCTATAAAGAATTGCTTTTGAGATTCTTATAAAACATCAAGTTAATATAAGAGTTATCAGGGATGGCACCAGGTAAGCTTACACAATGACTCGCAATTTTACACACGAAATCTGCAGCAGGTTTCATGCGATCTCAACCAATGCTCAGCTATCAGAATCACAATTGAAATCTAAAAGTGCTTGCGGCTGTACGTTTCCGTTTTCGTGGCGCTTAAATATGAGGCTAAGGGTATTCCCATGTTAGCTTGCTACAACTCATCCAGCTGTGTAATAAACCGTTCCTTAACGAGAATTGGCTGAACCCAAAGCCGTCTTCACATCCTATTGGTGCGATTAAATTTTCCCTGGTATAAATAGAGTCGCAATAGTAGAAACCTGCAGGTTAAATTTCTTCATTCCAATGTAAGCATATTTTACTTTCAGTTTTGGCTTCCTTAATTAAATACTCTTGGGCAGTGGTTTTTTGAGGGTGTTCACATCTCAAGGCATTTGGCCTTTATGGCAACTTTACAGGACTAATACTGTGGGCATTTTTTCTCATTGACTTCCCTTTAGGATGCGTTTCCTTTTCCGAAACACAGACAAAAAATTAACTCCTAGAGTATTTTAAATTGGATTCGTCTAAGAAATTCCTTATTTAAATTGTATCACCAATAGACTTCACATCGTTGCTGGACAATGATCAAGGGTGGTGAAGTTGGTTTCATTGATGTTCATAACCTACGACAGACTAGTCAGCCCTCAGTGACACTTGAAGCATTTGCATAATGGTCGAGAATTTGTCTCTACTATTTGGCCGTTAATAAAAAACTGGCGAAATTTTATTCTACTCTATGTGGAGTGGATCAGTAAATTACTAAATTTCACATGCCGAAACCGAAGACGTGACTTTTAAGAGCGCAAAGGAACAGCAAAATTCTATGTATCGACAAATGCTTTTACAAATCTTTCAGTGTTTATTAACACATAACTTCTGAATAAGCCTATCCATAGAATTACCAAAGGATTTGAAGCAGCGATTCTTTTAGTAATGATACTCATCTACATTAAGATTGGTGATACAAAATAACCTATGGGGGTGTAACCAACGTTAGCCTTACGTTGCTTGTGTTTAGGATCCATTCTTATACAAATTAATCTCATCAGCGACCAGATATCCCCCTCATTGCATATTTTTGTCTTATAATCTACTTGCTCTACCGAAACGAATTTAAAACACTGCTGCAGAGAGAAGCCACGTAAATTCCTTAACAGTGCTTAAACGGCACTACACAGTGCCCATTCATTAACAATCCAATTTATTTCGATATGATTCATCATTCTTTAATGTTGCTTCATTCTTAGTAAAGTAATATTCCATGGATTGATTCAATTTATTAGATGACAGTGCCAGTTGCCATTAAGAGCTCCTTAAACATGATAATGAATATTTCAGGTTTTGCAATGAAATAGACCTCGTTGCCATTAAGTGCATTCATACGTATGTAATAAAATTCAATTCATGCTATTATCTCCCAATGTTCGGAATTGCTGAATGGCTTTTGGTGGAGCGTAGCACTCGAGCAATTTAGGGGAAGCCCTAAAAACGCGAAAGAACTAGCCTGCTGTGCAGAAATTGATGTGGAACATAATCTTGGCATAATGCTGGCATCGATTCTCTTACAGAACGGCACAATGAACTCCTCGAAAGTGATCTTCTGGAAATTGGTAGCGATTTCACTTGTTGTTGCAACTAGCGCTTATCTTCATGGTGACGTCTATGAAGATCTTGAACCCTACGACAGCGACTATATGGAGGCGGATGATGACTTCGCACAAGCTCAGAAGCGCTTCATGCTCGGCCTTGGAGTTCCAAAAAGCCACAACAAAAAGAAGTTTTTCCTTGGTCTTGGCGTCCCGCGGAAACTTCACCTCCAGCACCGATAAAATTCTAGCACCAAGTCATCTTTGACTTATAGAACCACTGCGATTTTCAAGAAATAAATAACTCTTACTATTTTTTTGAATTTCTGGCCTTTCAGAAAAAAGACTATAATTAAATAATCACATATTCAAAAAAGGTGTCTTGTTATTTTGCATAGAAATTGTGAACTTGTGTATTCTAAAGCCAAATTTATTTATGTTAAGCTCTTATTACCGAGAATGAGTGTGGAGACCACGTCAAAACCAAGCGAATTTGCGAAAAAAACTCTCTATGGAAGGCCCCTTGAGAAAGCTCTAATCAGGTGGACATATTGCTGAACCTAAACTTAAAGTTGGCAGAAGTAACTTCTTGATGGAAACAAAGAAAGTCTCTTTTTGTGCCTCTCAAACGGTGTTTATAATGTTCAACCATTGACTGAATATACGCACAAAGAGACCAAATTTACATGTGCCACAAATCCCGAGAAATTTACTATCTACACTGCATCGTTCTTAAATTAGTCGTGTGTGTTAAAACATCCTACCCTATTAGTGAAAAATTTACAATACTAATATTATTATCAATAATTACACCGTTGACGAAAGTGAAATTTCGATCTAAAAATGAAGTAAAAGTTCCATAAAAATTGGAACACCACGACGTGGCGTAGGGCACTGTATCGTGTAGTTATCCTGTGTGTCCCCAGACACACCCTTGGAAACATGAAACCGAGCACCCATAATCCTTTCACACTCTCTTTGGCAGAATGTAGATTTCAATGACAATTGCCACAGCTACCACTTCTTCGTCCGTCTTTCTAGACATGTGCAGTCGTCAACTACTTCTAGAACAGTTGAATCTCGATTTGATAAGTGTAATTGCACTAGCAGGTACCTGTTTTGAATTCACACATGTGCAACCTGCACTTTTCCCGTAGTTTTCAAGTCGCGCTTTCCACTTCTACTAAACATTTGCGGTCGAAAGACATATTTTTGATCGTTTAGCTTTATTCTGGCAGCAACGTTACAGAAGTAAAAAGATTTAATGGCTTGTTCTTTGGTTCCCAGAATGCTTGTAAACATGTGGCTGACATTTTGTCAATGTACTCACAAACTCACTTTACCTAAAAAAGCTTTTGTTTATAAGATTTCCAAACTAACAAAATGTTCTTTACCCAAACTTATGATGGAAAAATGAGGGTGAGTGAACTAGTCTGTAATTTTTCCACTGCATAGCACTTGAGTCAATTCAAAAATAGCAGCAATTGTCCTGGACTAAGAGCTCCACAATTGGTGACCGACGTAGACGCCCGTGAATACGTATCCAACCTACCAAATCCAGTCATTTCTTCAAGCGATATAAACGTGCCCAGTTTACTACGAATGGAACAGCATACAATTTTTTGAACAGGGTTCAATTTAATTTTGTTTAGAAAAATTTTAGCCTCTTGATGGTTTGGCACCTGTGGTTGAGTCAATGTAATTTAGAAGCAGTGGGCGATCTCCTCGCGATACATCATAATTGTCCTGCACTGGAAATATTTAATTCATGTTCCAAAATTACAAATTTATGAATAAGTTATGCATTTTGTTATTTCATTTTAATCTGTGTGGTTGTGAGTGCCCATCAACTAGTTTATAATTTCACCTGAATTGTTTCAGATCGAGGTCTCGCGTGTTTTAACGCAAATAAACTGACGCTGGAAATATGCGCTATGACACCAGTTGCACAGCTTCGTTTGGAATTGGTGTACGATATTCAGTTTCTGGGTGTCGTTACTGGCTCTCTTTGTAATAAAGATTAGAAGCTTTGCGACCAGGAGTAAATTCAATTGAACTTTTTGCTTAGATTTATTTCTCCACGCTTAGTATTAACACAATTTGGCCATCATAAGATTCCTTTTACTTAATGATAAGACTCCATTTATCTTGTTCAGTGATCTCAGAAATGACTAAGGAACAGGCAAGTAATCGCTTGCACACCTGAGCAATGATTTACACAATTTGGTGCTTTTATTAGCAATTTCCGGTATCTCGGTATGGTCCACTGATTTTGAGTCGGAAATGGGTTTTGTCAAATGAACGACCAGTGAGTAAAAACTGGCTTAAAGAACTCATTCATAGCACTTTTTTTATTCTTAAGCCAGACACTTAAAATTTTCACGGTAGATTTTTTAGAGTCCCTAGCTTACTAAGAAATTAAACATGCCCGCTTTGTCATTTGGCTAAAGGGGTGAGCGATGGCCTAGTGTCGGGGATTATGCAGATGAGGTCAACCGCCTATGCGCAAATCAAGGTCAGGCTAGTCTCGAAGTAGATTATTTTTTGCAGAAGGTCGTGTATTTCTGAAAGACAAACTACCGCACTGATTTGCATGTTTTGAGAGCTGGCTCTCGAAAGAACAAAATAATGGTTGCCTAAAATGGTCAAGGTGTGGGTTTTAAACCATCTCCAATTAGCGCATATTAAACCCTATGTACTCAAAAGTGAAAATGTACACTAAACTTGTAGTTATCACTAAGCAATTTGATTTCAAGGTTCAAAACGCCATTTTCGATTGTGGATTTTAGGTGGTTTCAAAGTTTTCGTGAACTCGTGACTTATGTTAACTTTCGGGGAAAAATCGTGAGGTAAGCAGACGTTCAGAGAATAGGAAACATCTACCATGTACCATTCCGCCAGTCTGTAGCCACGCAATTGCAGGTGGTCTTCTAGGAGATAGCTCTTGTATGTTAAAATGTCACCTTTGAGTCGTAATCCACTGGACCAAGTACCTTATCTACACAAACGAGTATGATTTACAACTGTGACAGCGTTGCTGTGAGCATCTCTTAATTCCGAAATGTCTAATCGGACCCAGTGGAAGTGCATTTAGTTATATATAAGTCAAACGACCAATTGAGGAATTTTAGAAATAATTTTGCAAAAGATCTCAATGTGGGTCTCATCCCCACACAGAGTCAATTGATTTATTATGACGCCACGCACTCAAAGATCATTGGATGTCTAGATAGAGGATTAGCAAGGTTAGCTACAATAGGAGGTCTCTGATAAACATCGGGGGTTGCCACAGACTTATGGTAATTGGTCCAACAGGGTGTCCGAGGGAAGGAGTAAAAATGGCGACCGGTAATGCGTGGACTGTAGTGATGTCGTGAGTCAGCAAGTTTCACCACAACGCTTCCCCTTGGCGAAATGATGTGACAGCCTTCTCTTTACACAGAAGGTCGGTCACAAATGTACTTGGTAGTGCAGAGGTTTCCGAAAGGTTGGTCAGAGGTAAGGGATGTTGTCGGTAATGGAGACGAGACAATCGAGAGCCGAGGCAAGTCACTATCCGAGAATGGCGCCTTCCTAAGAGTCGTTGATGTATGGGAGGTCACACAACGCAAATTCCGGTCACGAAATTAATAGTTAAAAAACATGGATATCATTTGTGTAGGCACTGTACACTGTAGTTGTGACTGACTCTTTACTTTCCGATGGCCGCGGGTCAGCGGCGACTGGGACCACTTGTGTGGTGCCTGCTTTGTGCTAAAGAAATCTGAGTTGCGGTGACCGACAAAGCTGGTGTCCTCTTTTCTGTCAGGTTAGACGATAAAGGCCTTCTCTAATCGTCTGGGTTCTCTGAGATATTCATCGCAGATTGGTTTATGTGACTGACGGGTGGCGTCGTTCCTAATTAATGAGACCCACCGCCGCTTAGACAGGGCGGTTGCCAAAGTAGGTATTCACTTTCTAAATATCGGCCTTAATTACTAGAACGAAGGGTAGTAAAAGAGAGCCACAATTTAAAATCTGCTGGGATGATGTAATGTCCCGGCCTATACCAGTGCATATCTAGTCCCACAGTAACAAAAAACATTATTGTAAAATTCTCTGACGGGCTTATTGCGTGTTTTACCAAACTTTTGATTCAATTGTGTATGCTAAGCAAAACAGTCATGACGGTTTCCGATGGCCAATGCTCCTGCAACAGCGAATACATTCGCATCGTGATAGATTTCGTTTATTATTTGCACACTCCTTATCGACATTCTTTACTTGCAGGAGTTTCCGTTTCTTACCCTTTCGTATCAACCATCGGACCTGATTCGTCATTTTGGAAGCGCCGTCGCGGCAAAGTCGGTCAAGTTGTTAGACAAATATAGCCTGCCTTAGTCCCGCACCGTGAAAACTACCCTATCTTTGTGTTGAGATTTTTTCATTGCTTGGACGAGTGCTTCAATGTGGCAGGCTATTCTGTCTGACAGCCTGAAATATTCCATTTTGGAAATTACGGTGCCAAGCCTTCCAGAGTGGCCTTGTCATGACATGTTTGTCATGTTATTGTTTGTCAATAGTTTCAACCGGACGCGCAAATGCACACCTCTGTCTAGCCTGCGCCTTTCTTTTATCATGGCTGATTGCATCCTTGACTGGATTCCCCAGCTTCTATGGTGTGCCTTTGCCCACTTTTGTTCATGCCTGCTTTCACTCCAAGCCAAATTGCGACCACGCCATTTGGTTGCACCTCCCAACAGTCCTATGGTAGACAAGGAATGAACATTCAGCCTGACACTGATTTGCGTAAATTAGCTCCAAACTTGCAAGTCATCTTCAAATTACCTTTTAGCAAACTCAAATCCATTAACTATGTGTTCAAAACAGGAATCTTACAGTAATCGTAAGTGATTGGTAGTTTACTTGTCTATTATTGTCTCCAATACTTTGAATACTTTCAGTCTTTTTTGGACAAGTCATTTTGTTGTTAGGTGTGTGAACCCGTAAATACATTTTCTTATACTGCATGATTTTCCGCAGCTGACCCTACCCACAGGTTTTGTGAGTTATTCCCAGAATTTAAAACGAGATGCACAAGTTTGTGCTTGCATGTTCATCTGCTGCATTTTTGAAAGCACTAATTGAGCTTAGGAGTAAATAAACGAGTAGTTGTGAGGTGCGAGTTTGTGTCCTTGCGTCAGTCTCTCAAGTTTTTGTTCTCACCTATAAGCTTTAGCTGTACAACAGTCCCGGAAATGCAACGGCAAAAACACCGGAGTAAATGTCAGTTTAACGTAACCAGTTTTTTTCTGAAAAGTCGGCTCAGAATGCAGTCATGGTACAGTGGTATAAAGTCGCATACCCGGACGTCTTGCTAATTCACCCCTTCCAGCCTCTCAGAGTGCACCCATCTGTAAACATTCCGTGGCGCGCCTCATCCCGGCCACCCAGTTGTCCCACCCCCATTCCTCCACACCGCGCCCCACGTCGTCGCGCCAGGGGGTCAGCGAGTCGCTTTCAGGACACGGGGCACGCCCCACGCGCATGAGCCCACCTCCGCCACGCACCAACTCCCAGTAGAGCACCTCGGATACCTTAACAGTGATACTTGGTCCCCCAACTTGCCCTTTAACTGGCAATAGAATTTAGTTACCGGCCGAAATGGCAGAAACTGGTCGTATCATGCAACTTTTCGACTTGAGCATGTGTCCTTTTTGGAAGCTGGGTTGCTTTCATTCCACAATGAACTGGATTCCTAACAGTGTCCCGGTGACTAGACTGAAGTGTCAGTACAATGGAAGGGGAATAAAAGGTTATTCACTAATACATTTACTTCGATCAGTGTGTTTCGTTTGTAAAATTAAATTTGACATTTCAACTTAATCGTCCTTCGGAGTAAAATGTCCTGCAGTGCAATCCATGGACCTGGACAAACTGACTACTTAATTCATACAGTACAAATTTAGGCAAAATGAAGGGCACCAACTAACAAGAAAGCAGCTTTCGACGAAAGATTTTTCACTAATTTATCCCTGTAATCGAAAAGGCGGAAAATAAACAAATATGACACGTACCCATCGAAATACTTCGATTGGATCCACTAATGGCTTGACACTTGGGGATTATGCTGACAAAATTATTCAAATCTTTATTCCCTCTAAAGAGTTTGCATTCACCACTTCCATGTTGATCATATGACTCCCATCTTTTATGTGTTATCTCACTGGGTAGTGACTAGTTCAGCTTAAAGTGGTTTAAAACAGTCGGCGAAGGTTGCTGGACAGAAGCGGGATGTTACAACTGTAGAGGCCTAAATTAGCGCTATCGCAAAACCCTATAGATAACAGCCGGTCACAACCCGAGAAGAGAGGAGACAGAGTCGAAAGAGAACACGACCGTTCATTCGCGGCACGCCAGTCAAGTCGAGTCGACTGTTAACAAAGACGGTGAGTCATTGATACAGTCGGGCAAGCATACACGCAGCCCTCATGCGCGGTGGCTGTACGTCCACAACAGTGCATTTGCGAACATATCGATTGATTTGTGTTCACTCGAGCTTGCAAAGTGCGTTCGTTCACGAATGCTAACTGTACCGGCTTGCTGGTCGCCACACCAATTTTGATGAGTTCACCTTGTAGTCAAACTTGCAAATCGTCGAAATTTCAAGTACTCGTACATCCGGAATCTCTTTAGGATACTTTGACAGCCACATTCATCATGCTCTCAAGGTTGTTGTCTGTGCTTTCTAACACTAAATAGGAATTAGCTCCTGGTGATCTGTACACTTTTGTAGCCAATCTTTCCTTTTTAAATTGACTGGTCTTACATAATGATGTCTTCCCATCTGAAGCCTGTTTATCGTGTGTATGCTTGTTGTTATTGATTATGATTCCTTCGGCTTAAGCATTATGCATGCACGTGCCGGTTTCGTGCAGCCCAGCCTGCAATAAATCTCAGTGACTCATGTCACATGTATTTGTACACGAGGAAGTTAAAACTAGTGACAGAATAAGTGAACGTATTTTAGCTTATGCCTTGAATCTCCTATTCGCTATCCAAGTGATGAAAAGCATGTGACGGGTAACAAGTTCGTTCGTCAGTCTGCTAGACCTCATTGTGCTTTAGGAATTTAACGTGCAAATGTGTTGGGCATTTCAAGCATTCGATCAAAGAAGTCAGCTAAAAATTTTTCATTTGCAGTCTGCCATGAGTGAATTCACAAATCGCTTTTCATTTAAAAAGGAATCATGGTCTACGTAGCCAAAAAGGACCTTGACCAGCACTTTAGATGTAGTTAAAATTTGTGCTTTTATCATCAAACTCGTGGTGATTCGGTAGTCGTTAAGCCGTTTTTGATTATACAATAAAAAACTGCAACAAATGACAATGGTCACCGTAACGACATCAGTTTTAAACATGGCTGTATCTTTGTGGTCTCCATGGTGACTCAACTGATGACTGATCAATTCGGTCCAGTCTCCTTGCCAGTTTGTGCACTCAAGACTCAAGAGACCCTCGTCAGCAAAACAAACTTAGACCGTTTCTAGACATTTGCATCTATAATCACCATAATTTCTGCAGGCTCTAATTACTTCTAGAGAAAAATGTCCCAATCCAATCTGTCCAATGCACTGACAACTCTTTGAAGACTTACGACCACGACATCCGACTGCGATTCCCCTTTTCCATTGATTTGGCTGACAATCGGTGTGACCTTAAACTTCGATCGAAACATAGAATAACAGGCTTCTGAATAGCAATTTATAACCAGATCTTCATGTGGTTGCTCATAAGACTGCAGATTAGGTCTTTCTGAGGAACATTGATAGAGCTTTCAATGCGGCTACCTCAGTAGAGTTTTATACAAAATAGTTACCGTATTATCTATCGTTCCGCAAAATTATTTGGAATACGTTTGGGGCTAGACGAAGTACATACATAGTAAACTTGCAGAAGAACCTTGATATCTCCCCAATAGAATATCTGTAACATCTATCTACCCGGTTACATATTGCCTGATGCCTTTTGTGCGCAACTCGAGTCTGACTTTCGTTGGCTTCAGCCGTGTAGCTGCCATGGAATTTGCCCTACTTAAATTTGACAATATAGAAGTTTCTTGTAAAAAAACCCCGATAGACCAAGATAAAATTTCAGGTGTTTACAGAATGAGGGGTACAGTGTTACTGGAATATTCAGACTCTACCATTGCACGCAACGGACTCAACGTGGGAAGGAAAGAAATGAGAGGATTTTCGAATTCACTGGGCCCGTCACTCATTTCAGCTGGCATAGCATAATTGAAGCCATCAATTACTTTCAACTTAACACACCTCCACCACAACAAGCCTGTGTCAGAGCTTCGACCAATAAAAGGATGACTTCTGACAAATAGTGGGACAATTTTCTTGGGATGATGTCTTACTACCTTTTAATGACCAGATCCACCATATGGGACAAATAGATTGTCTACTTTAGATCATTTACCATAAACATTGGCAAGTACCGGTATCTTCAAAGTAAGAAGACACTGGAAGATAACTCCACCGTTTAATTAATGTGGGACTTTTCACCAAATGACCAAATTTATTTAGGACGCTCACATAAAAACAAACCCTGACATATTACAGAACACAGCAATGATGCCTGAAACTGGTCTGATCAATTTTATCGAGAGAATTTGCGTCATTTTAAACAGACAGCTATTGGCTGAACGCGTACTAATGAGTACCGAATACATGCAATTGTCACCAAACCTGCACTCTACGTGAAAGGAGCAGCGGAGGACAAGGTTACCCCCGATGACGCGTCCAGCAAACATGCAGTTGTGGTCAAACCTCAACGTAATGATGTAGCGGTACAATGACATATTAGGAAAACGCTTACTACGTTTGGCGTTTTACAACATAACACAAACATAATTGAGCGTGACTCATATGTAATAGTTAAGGAAATCACGACATTGACCTCATTTGCAGATAATACTAGCGTGTGTGTGCATGCATTCAAAACTTGAGCTGATTCTTAGAACCAAAATTTGCCTTTTATTGTGCATAACCCTAGTCGCCAGTTGTGTTAGGGGGATTTGACTTCCAAAAGCATCGAGAGTCAAGTCCGATCTTGAGCGTCATCGAGTATAAGAATTCAATTATCATTGATCCTTACCTTGTTGCCATACAACGAAAAGAAATTTGTAAGAATTATTTGTGCCAATGGGTGATTATTTCCAAATCTCACCCAGTGGAATATTTGGAAGCCTAAACAGAGCTTAGTTGCTTTGAAATTAATTCGTTTATTTGGGATAAGGACTGACCTAAAATGGCTACTGAGATTTGACTTATGGCTGCTACGTAGTTTGAATTAAAAGTAGTCTTTATGGGTCCGAAAGTTCAAAAAGACAGTTGAGTACTAGTGGTAGAAAGTGTTTACTGTAAATTGTGGATAAAGAAAATTGGAGTCAGCTTACCAAACTTCTGAACAGTATGACTGACGAACAGAATTTTCATTACCTGAATTAAGGTTTTTGAATGGGGTTCTGTCGTTTAAAAATTACTGTAGTTCCATGCACAATTCCATAGTGTTTCAGAGGATGACGTCCGTCCATTTGAACAGCACCCTTGAACAAATAAATCTGGTTCTTGTCACTCGCCGGAAGTTTCGCTTCCAAGGCCTCCAAACCCTCAGAAACCGTCGCAGACGCCTGAAGTTCCAAAGTTATAACTCTTCGCCCGTCCGTAAAGTTAATGCTCATTTTATCATTATTGGTGGACGGTAATGGCGTTGATAATTGTTTCGCGAATCCCGATCTCTGACGGCTTTGGCGAAACCCTCCAGGTATTGTGATTGTTTTGGGCTCATTGAAAGCCGACCTGAGTGTTTGGGGCTCTGAGGTGATTGGCGAGGTGTTAGGGTCTTTTGGCGATTGGCTGACGGTGCGATTTACTGGTATAGCCCACGGCGGACTTTGTTCAGCTGTTGATGGTGACACAGGCGCCACTTGAAGGGTGGAGTTTGTCTCCTCTGTTCTCATTGGTAAGTAAGACTTCCTTGATTGGGGTGATGAGTGTGGCGGAGAAACCGATGACTGCTTGTTAATAGTTTGAACTGGTTCTTCGGAGAGTTTATATTGAGGAAAGTTTTCTGTTGACACTGATTTTTGAGGGACGTCAGACGGCTTGGAAGGTTTTGAATCGGACTTTGGTGAAAGTTGGGGTTCTACTCCGTTCCTGATTATCGAAGCATCTTTATCCACTTCAGAGGTAGGTTGAGGTTCGAGGTAACTGAAAACCGTAATCCGAGAGCCTTCCTTCAGTTTGTATTCCTCAAGAGTTCTGTCGTCCTCCAGAATGTATCGAGCAAACGTAAAGACCTTTTTGTCAAAGGGCTCTCCCCCAATCGCATTCTGCAAGACTTGTTTTAATTCACTCACTTTCCAATTCATGCAGGCCGCGATGAGCACAACCCTCCCGTGTCCGAAGTCAACCTCTAAATTTGTCTTAATTTTTTCTCCTCTTCGCAGGAATAAGAGGACCTTGCACGTGTCATCTGAATGGCCTGGAGAGAACCGAAAACCATCCTCCAGTAAAGCACCGTTACTTGCCAAGGTCAAGTATGATGTGGGTATGTGTATACTCTGGCTGATGGCTTTTTTCAAGTTTTCTACTGAAATCTCATTATCTACCTTCAGCGTCAGTATCTTAGAGTCCAGATGTTCCACTTCGATGAGCATCCTGGGGAAGCAAGTGATACCAGAGAGGCAACAGAACCCAACCTTTGTGTGCATAGAGTGCCATCAACCAATGATTGAGTAGAATTATGTTTGGCACCAATACGATGGTAGGACCTGCCAATTTTTGCACTGTACGCACTGTGTGGAATATACCCACTTCCCATTGGATTGTGTACCTTGATTGAATCTATAAACTGCCGCCGTTTTATGGGTGCTACAACAACCAATTTATACGCTGATGTTTTTGCTCACACAGGACCAATAGGATGTACAGTTTAATGACAAGCAGTGTCACTTTAATGCATTTTAGAAAGTGGTAATGACAAGACCATTTATGTTAGCTTTTTTCTATCAGGATAGGCATACCAGTTACCGACTTGTCATATAAATATGACGAAATTAAATGGGGAGGAAACAACTGTTGAAATGCGATTTCTCAGTTGTTTGAAGATCCTACTACAAATGTACATCATAAGTGAAGCGGATACTTGAGATCCAACAGGTGGATGTATATCCTGCTTGAAACTAATTGCTACCATTTGAGGTATTTACATAATTAGAACGATTCATGTGGTATACCAAAGGTTCGACACCGTTATCCCTACATTCCAAACGCAATATCTGCGCCAATAGAGGAATAATTGCTGTTCTCATCTCGACGTATTCTTCATATCTTCATAAGTATTTCTGTGCTTCATTGACTACCAGAAAAGTCAGACCTCTAACATAATTTGTCTAGAGGACGATGCCGATCAGTTGCATCGATGCAGCACTGTTACTCCAGATAACAATGTGAGCATCGCTGGTCACTGAGCCAAACAATGCCTCGTAAACAAAGTCGATCAAAAAAACGGGTCTGAAGGTCGGGCCAGGGTTCTCATTTTCTTGTCACGTCGGTGCAAGCGCATGACATGTAAAATGTCACCCTAGCCGGCGAATGTTCGCAGGTAGAGGTGTACCAGTTATGAACCAACTTGCTTGTGATATTTGTACAAATTAAAATAGTCAACATCCCTATTTTTCATTCCTACGTTGACACGCGGACGATATCGAGAATTATTTGGTCAAGTAGAAATTACATCGCACTAGTCGAAACAGATCGTAAAATGGTCACACTTTAAAATCACAAGACTGTTAAATAACAATTTAATTTAAATGGTAAAAATTTAAGTTCTCCATAAGTACCTTGACCTTGACCAGCGACGAGAAAGTTTAAATCCTATCCTATTTATCACCAGAGAAAAGGTGAATATTTCAGTAGGCAAATCAGAGGACCTGACCTTGACCTAGAAAACGGTTTTTTACGAAAACTAGAAAAAAACAGTTTTCATTTTCTACTCCTGTCAAAATCGAGGCGGTTGTAGGTTAAGTACGTATCGCCTTAGTTCAGTATCGGTAAATATTAATGGGTGTTCATGCACTAGATGTATCGATTTTAGCGAAAAAGTTCCCAATTTTGGTTTTTCAACACCAAACCCAACCACTTTCGATTGTCTGAATTTGATTACCAGAATGGAGTTTGTTGATCGGACATTAGTCTGGGCATTTCCGACCTCTTTGGCGACATAGGCTGCGTAGTGAGAACAATAAAACATTTAAATTACATTTAATAAAGCGACTTTAGTATCGGGCACACGCATTCTAGATTCATTGCTAAGGATCCTCTTGGACGAAATAAACTACCCATGTCAAATCTAGTAAATCCCTCGGAATGAACTGCTTCTGACAAATCCTTGAGGCTAGCGCAAAAAATGAACGATAACACGATGCACAACATCCTCTACCAACATCGAATCGTCGCCCAAATTTTCTGCTCTCACTCGCTGGCCATACGCATTCGCTTTGGGGTTTTCAATAGCCCGCCTACTCCAGAATGCACGTCTTTGATTGGATGCTAGTGCCATTCTAGCTCCTAAGTCAATCAATGGTCTCCGCGCAAACGCGAACACAAGTTTGGCCAATCACCAGTGCGCAAACAGACGATTAACGTGGGGAATATAGCCACACTTTCTACACGCACAGAATATTCCTTTGTGAAAGAAAACAAAAGATAGCCTTTTGCATTACAGGATGCGGATGGAGATTGCATAAAAGTAAGCATTATCGCCGCGGGTATTGCGCACCGCCACGATCGTTGTTTTAGTTCATGGCTTACAGCGTAGTTGTACTTCGATGCGTAATTCCACAGTAATACTCCCTCAGCGGAAACCCAGGTTAATACCTCCATTAACGTAGGACGTTCTAAAGTTGTCCGTTTCCATTTACTAACAGGCTATCCGCGTCCGCGTTCTGTTTGGCAGCTGACATCACGCTTTTGCGGAATATTTTTGGAAAGATGACGACCTTCACATATTTGTCCATTGGCTTTTTGATGCTATCTTGTCTGCGCACCAAAACATTTGCCTTTTGACCTACGGTAGTTTTTCTAGGCGTAGGCTTGTGATTTGGATGTGTTTTCCGGGTGCTCTCAGGAGGTTTGAATCACCAATTAGTTTACTGGTTAGCTACGAGGTCAAGCTACTAATTATGGAACCAATAAATTATTGATATTTATGTCCCGGCCACCATCTTCAAGACAAATGAGGGTCAATTTTTGATCTCTTAAATTAACTTTGGCTTTGCACATTTACACTAGTTGTTATTTTCTTTGAGAATTTTGATGTTTTGACAAGAATGGTCTCGGCGAAGTTGTTGTTTATGAATTATCTTTACTAGGCCACGTTCAAAATACGGATTTGCCACAACTTCGTTGGCCGTAACCAAATCGTTTAAGCGGGCGTAGTTGACCTTAAGGTTTAAAGGTGTGATTAATCAATACATCAGATGCCAATTAAGCCCATGTGAAACCCTCACAGTATTCTGGTAACAAGGACTTGCCTCATCACATTAGTTCTTTGGATACTTCTTGCATATAAATACGCAGGATCTAAGTAGCTGGTGAAGAGTGTGTATGATAATTGGGAACTGAGTAGTTCAAAAATCACTGAAGAATGTTTGGCAAGCCTTATCTTTTGATCATTGCTTATGATGATGAAATCTTTTACCAATCAAGATAGTTACAGAGTACGACGCACCAACTTTCGAATTCCACTGGGCCTTCCAGAACTATTCAAATTTCTGCTGGGGTTACTGGATGACTCCCACAGAGGAAGCATTTTCGGCATTCACAGACATTAGCACTTGAAATGTAGGAGCCACTTGTGGTGAGAACTTTAGCTTTACGAGCACCTCAAATGCAGTGGGATAGAAGTTTGATCCTTGAGCGGTTTTCTTAATCACAGCGATGGGATTCACAATAGGCCGTTGACCTTACCAGGCCATGTGTAGGCAAACGGGGGCAGTGATAGTCAGCATCACTGGAACCCATGTTTCTGATCCCTTTCGAATGAGAACAGCACGGAGCCTTGTCGAATTCTAACTTTACAAGTTTGTAGTGTGGTAACAAGTTTTGGGCAGCGCCATAGTTCTGATTTGTTAATGTCTTTACCCCAACCTTTACTTCCCTAATTGGGGACTCTGGTAACACGGCGGATGCATTTTGATTCATCGCCTGTGTTGTATACCTGATAAGAGGAAAATGGAGCACACTTACCGCAACAACGCCGGCCGCTTCCGCCTGGAGGCCGGTGTCCAGAAGTTTCTTCCGCCAACGGCTCCTCCTCCTGCGCTTAGTGCAAGTGCGAGTGTGTCTTCTCCTCCCTGCACTTCATCCTCTCGCCGTCTTCCACAATGGTTCTTTTCCGGCTCCGCAACCATTGACTCCAGAGAACTCCTCCTTCGAAAAGTCACTCTTCAGGAAAGTTGTCCCAGCATTCACCTTCTCTCCGGTGGCGGTCCGAGAAGTGTCGCCACTACGCCTGGTCCCTTAAAAAAGCCGCACAGCTCCTCCGCCCCCAACGAAGGTATCACTGGTGCGGAAAGCGTCTTATCTCCACCGACTCCTGTTTTGGGGATGCTACGAAAAAGGAATGTTGGCAGAAGACGACCCTCATTGTCTGGTGGGGGACCTGTTCATTTAGAGAATCCCGAACGAGAAACAAGGTGGTATTTCAAATACTTCCTTGGAAAAGGTATTTGAACAACAGGCATTGGCCCTTCTGTTTAATTTACATGATTCTTGTTACACTATTAAGAGAAAATGTGTTTTAGTGGATATGCAGCAAAGGCATGCACATGCATACGTGGAGTTTAGATTGATTATTTTGTGCAATTCAAATAACTTCCGAATCCTAGTCTGCTTCCTTTTGTTATTTGGATCCTGTATTCATTCTTTACTAGTTTCGGATTCTTAAACTAAATAATACTGATGATACCGAATCAATTCAACCCATGTTTGGTTTAGCACACAGGATATTCTGTGGCAATATATCTGAGAAGGATCCACTCCTTCTGGCGATCGTCAAGTCGGAATTTGAAGCTGAGGGCCTCCGTCAGTACCGTGCTATATTGTGGACGAAGTTTGTGAGTTCGTGTCAACGGTTCCACTTTCAAGCAGTGACTCACTCGTCATACTTTTTGTCCTTGTAGGGTAGTCAAAAACTGTGCATTTCTAATAGTTTCACAAACTCGGTTTCACCCAAGAAAATCCTCTGGTGCGTTCCGCGTGTAAAATTTAATTTCACCTTTGCTGTAGTCTCTTTGATATCCACAGACTTGAGAAGGGCCTGAAAGAGATCATTCACTACGAAGCCCAGAGGGAAGCTCTTACCCTGGAGGAGCAGGAGGTACGGTTGCTTTTTTAATTCATTTTCTAGGGTTCTGTGAATTTTAAGTTTGGAGTCCTCTATTGCATGGATGGACAAACATCAGACGAAGAAATGTACAATAACGGTGAGTGGATATTCCGCTACTTTCCTTAAGTACAACATGGTGCAGTGACTTTCACAGCGAATTCGTTTATTCCACCCACAGAACTGATTTCAAGTCCATCTAATGTCTAAACAAAGGGAGTTGTGAGGTCTCCAGCAATTAGCAAAACGTGAGCTAACACAAGCAGGCCTATCTAAATAATTCCATGCTAACCTATAACAGAAGGGACGTCCAACAAATTCGCACTACACCTCGTGCGACATTTAGCAATTTGGTGTCTAACGTAAAAGCGCTTCTTCTTCATCCAATATTTTAATGCATTCTCTAATGTTTAAGAGAATGGAAGTCCGCAATATCAGGCCTTTTTGCGACTACTTGGTGACCGAATAACACTCAAAAACTGGGACCGATTCAAGGGCGGTCTTGATACGAAAAGTAAGCCTGGTTGTTCACTTACTATATTTCTACAATAATGTCTGCCTAAATTCTTAATGTTAAATCTGGTACGCTAAGAGTTAGCCATGCTCTCACATCAGTAATAACGAGCAATATCGGTATGGTTGGCTTAATGAAAGTAGCTATATCAACAAATCGCTGTGTCAATAATCAGTCATTTTAGCTTTAAAAATCGTTTAATGACAGAATACAGTCGTTAGCCAACTAGTGATGTGTCATCAATCACAAGCCTGTTCGTCTCCCATAAATGTCTCAGAGTTTTGCTATGCGAAATGGGCGTAGCAAATTTGTGATTACGGGAAATTGCACAGAACTGTGCTTCGCTTAATCTCGAAATTTTAGACATAAAAGTAGGTTTTCTAAATTGCTTTTAACAACAATTTGAAATTACACGTTTCAATGATGCTTTTGAACTATAAGCACTTTCTACCCCTCTTCACCGGTGTATTACACGGGTATATTAGGCAGCTAAAAGTAATGGGTGCTGGAGTTCGACTGGAATTTTGTCGTTAAAAGTGGCACAGCTGAAGAGTCACTGGGTTACTTATCGAGAACTTAAATTACATCAGACAGTTTGCAGTGGTGAAATTCAACATCTGGACGACTACCCGACGAAATGTGCATTCAGATGAAAGGCTCGTGAAATGCTTGTATATTACACTCAAGGTGTACAGCGTGGTCTTTTGCACAAGGTGAATGGTTTAGAGCCAAGGAAATAGGTTTGCAATGGAAAGGCGTATTAAAATGACAAGAATGTGAATACTGCGAACACGTGAGTTACCTAAATACACAAGAATTCACCGGCTTCCTTCCCCTCTTTCTTCATTGTCTTACCCTCCAAACTCCAAATTTCGTTGCCACTTTGCTAGCGCGAAGACAGCGCTAGGTTAATTTAATTATCCTTTTTCAGAATAGTTACACCACACTCGGCGTAATTTGCAAAACGATCTGAAGAAAGCAGTGACCTAGCTTTCTTTCCAAGTAAGGCGAAATTTAGTTTAAGAGCATCACCGTAGGCGACCGTCGTTTGTCCGATTCCTGCAGAACAGCACACAACAATATGAGATATTTCTCAACTCGAAGTCGTGTAGTTTTGATCATTCTACTTTTTATGGTCCTTGATAGCATTATGCACCAAGGTTTCTCCATTTCCCATTCATTATCATGGATGCACCAACGTACCTAAGTCAAAGTCTCCATTTTGGGCAACTGGTATCATCTCTAAATCTGAAATGTACCCCACACCATGTTTGCGATGTGTCTGACGCTTGTCCAGTGACCAATCCTAATATCCTTTTTATCAAAGGAACAACGGCAAAGGGAACTTCAATTTATGTGAGACTTAAGCAAGTGTACCATCCGTCCAATGGTGGTTTGGCGTTGAGCACCTTGAGGCTTTGTTGGTGTCCTCGAGATTCCAGAAGAGGCCTGATGGGGACTGCGGGTGGTGTGCGTTTGTGACCGGCTGAAGTCAAACTTGTTTGTGTCACTGTTCCCACCACAACTCTTAGAAAAGAGAGTATTCACGGAATCATGGAACCGGCGTCAACGGAAGTTAGGTCTACAAGATACTAAACACCTGTGAACTTGTGAAGATTCGGCAATGCCTGTACAATTTTCTTTTTATTTCTAGCTGAAACTACTGGCATCGAATCAGTGTACACTATATATGAGGGTCATGAAATAATGTTCCATGTTTCTACCTTGCTTCCTATTTCAACTGACAATCGTCAGCAGGTAGGTTCCCTTTAAGCAGTGTATCCACTTAAAGCTACAACTATTAAACTTGCAATTTTGGAAAAGCTCAGACGCACTGTGGCATTTTCAAGGAGAATGATGGAGTTCTTCCATTGTAAGAAAATACCGAAACAGGAAGTGGTTCTTTATTCTTAGTTCAAGAAGTGGACCTTACAGTCAAATGCAAGGCTACTTCCAATGTCGGCTTAGTTAGTGTAGTCGTTCTACTTTATTTTGGGTCTGTATAACACAGTATCTGGATATGATAAAAACAGCACAGGGTCCTTCTCCATGTGTTCAAATAACTTTACTTCTGTTGTCGTCGGGGTCACCAATTTGTTGTGGGCCCCAGCATGTGGTCTTGAACCACGCCGGGGCCATGGAATTAACCCTGGCCCGATTACGCTTGCCTGATGCCCGCGGCGAAGAAGAGACCGGAGAGGACGTGGACACAACCGTTTACTACAGAGCTCAACCAAGTTGGTGTCGTTGTGTCGAGTGTGGGGTTTGTGCATGTGTATTTATAGATCGGATGTGTGAGTCATTCATGCGCTAACATCGAGACCAAGGTGTGAGCAACTTTACTTAAAACACTCGGAATATTCAACCAGGCAAACCACACTTGTTTCTGCTTCCCCTTTTCCAATACCTCTAAAATAAAATAGTCGTTCGTGAGGTGGCTAGGAAAGAACCTTTTCAAGTTCATCATTTTTACACACCATTCGTTTACTCATTTCGAATGTCTATTAACATTTTAGATTGAAAGAAAACGTCATATTGGGAATGATATTGTAAATATCATATTTTTTAACACTGATGATGCTGACAAACCGCTTTCATGGAAGCCGTCAATGATGAAAACTCATTTTACCCGTATCCTTCGAGTTTCGGTTTGGTGAAGACGAAAGCCACTGGGTTATCGTCTATTTGTAACCATCTATTTCATATTCCGGTTTTTAAACTAGCCCTTTCGCTCTAATTCGTGCAGTTTATGTGGTAGCTCCGTTTGAACGATCACAAATCACAAGTCATGGAGCTAATGCATCTCAGAAAAGGGACAATTGTTGAGCGTTTTGAGGTGTTCGTCGATAGGCTAGCAAAGTGTTAGTTTTCCGGTTCTATTGGATTTTCGCAAATCTATGCCGACGTCGAGATTGGGTAGTGGAAGCTGCTAGTTATATCAGCAACACATTGCTTCTGTCCCGGCGTCTTTTAACAAAAAGCATCATTCACCAAAAGAGCCTACAAACGTATGTTACAGTCCACTTGTGAGAAGTTTAGCTCGGAGTCAAAGCGGTAGATTGTGAACAGATTGTAGGGCAAAAAATTTCTAGATTTCAGTTCTACGATCAAAAGCCTTCTTTTTTAGATTTTGCCGTGCAATATAGTTTTATTCTATGTTGTAAACTTTCATCGAACCATGATTCTTTAATTAAAATGGTCAAAGTAACCCTATACAAAAAATCGTCACGTCAGAGTTGCTTGGATTTTAGTCCTTTGCATTTGATGCCTGAAATATAGTTAAGCGTCTGGATTATACTTAGTCTAAAATGAAACAAAATTCGAATATTCATTAGTGACTTTGTTGCTATTTGATTTTTGACTTGTGACTGGCGCGTGGTAGATATGTTAATCCGCTCCCATCTTACTCCTCAAAACAGGCGTGTGAATGATTCAGTTTGGTGCAGTTGTAAACCCAAGGAAGCACATGCCAAATTCTATCGTCCTTCGTCAATTGTTGGCCTTAGTTTAAAATTCGATGTTTCTTGCCGTTATGGAGCATCACTGTTGTCTTCGTGGAATCACTGTAACAGGTTAAAAATTTATTAATTGGTGAAAGCGCTTGTAAAGGACGGCGGTCATCAATTCCACGAGCACGACATACTGAGTAGTAGTGAAAGTGATGGTCGGTAGCGTGATATCTATCAAAGTGAAGCAAGCAATGAACAGGGTAATCATTGTGAAAATACTAATCCCCGAGTCGACTCTAATCCAAATTATTTTTTTTTGATTCGCTGACCATAACTAACAGCATTAGGTCCACATATTTTCCTTAACGATTGTTCCTCCATAGATATTTTCGCAGTTGTTACATACAATCAAGTTACAAATGCCTACAGGTATGTATTGCTTTAGGAACTATTTTGCTTTATTGCGTTCAGGCACCAATCAAAATTACTCGCAGGACGAGTCTGTTTATTTTCTGAAATTGGTTTTTAAATTAACTTCAATTATTGTTCTTTGCTATTAAACTGCATGTGTAACCGAATTAACCGCACTTACGGAGTTATAGTGACGTGGAATCTTAGACGACCTTGCGCCTTCAAATCTCATCCACAATTTACGCATGTGTTTGTGTCAAAGCAAAACAAAGTGACGGAAATAAAATAAAAATTTCCAGATTAAACGGTGAAGACATTGTCACAAAACAGTAAGCATATTTCAGGTTTCACGTATATGCTAAATTAAACTGTCTCTGTTACCAATATTCCAATTTTCTAGATTACTATTGCTCTACGTTCGTAATTTTAACGTTTTAACCGAATAACGAATTATTCCAAATTTAAGCCGAGCCCATGATTTAGTAAAATGTGGTTTTTTTCGCACGTCTGACCTTCCATGGTCCACAGACTATGATCCATAGCGGTAAAGGCACATTCAACCGTAGAATGAAGACTCATAGGTTTTAGTGTACTGCAAATTATCATGTGGTGTTTGGTTTCAGATTTTCAGTTTTTTCGGAGGAATCTGTGCCTTACTTTGGTCCGACAATACCTACGACTAGGGAATTCACTGACCACGAGGAACTGCGGCACTTCCTGCTTGTGAAATGTGAGCTATCGGTCTTGGTGACCGTGTTTTGTATCAAGAGATGATCAGGAAAGGCAGTGTCAACTCCCAGTCATACCAGCTGCTTAAAGAGACTTACTTTTAAAACCTTTCTGACACAGTCAGTCAGCCCGGTTCCTTAGGCTGAATAAATAGCAAATTTATCCACAATAACAGGCTCTTCCACAACTGGTACCAATCTATCACGCCTTCCCTACAGTTGTCTAGTTAAAATTAAAGCGTTTTTGTGCAGTTCTCAGTGATTTGACTATTTACCATGGAAGACAAATATTCCAGTTTGAGGATTGTGACTCTTTTTTCCGTCAAGAATAACAATTACCTGCTTCGAATTCCGTGCTGAAGCAAGCAATGTTCTCATCAACGTTATACGTTTCCTTTGACAAAAGTAATTTCTTTTGGAAATGTAATCATAATAGAATGGCTTTTAAAGAGTTGGCCACATAACCTAGTTTGAAAGTTTCTCGATTTTGAGATTTTTATGCACTTTCTAGTAATTAATGGTGAAAAAGCTGCCTTCCACTCGCCAGTGTTTGCACAAAAAAGGATACGCACTTCTGAAATGCTACTGAACAATATTCTCGAAAAATATGGCTCAGAGTGCAGCGTAAGTCATTTGACTTGGTTAATTTCCAACTTCCTGTTTTTTTCCATATTGCAAATAACCTGAAGGCAGACGTAATATTGACTTTCAGATGCCAAACGTAGCTAAGGCTGTTTGACACTTATTCACTTATTCTTTTTGTACTTCGTGAACATTACTGATCGGTATTTGGAATTTGCTCTGACGGATCTGAAAGTGAAGGACTTGCCAAAAAACATGTGTGCATTCTTCGTGGTCTCTCAATTAATTTTGGTTTTCATTGGGCATATTTTTTATTTGGTTCACTCGTCAATTAACGAACTTGAGGCAGACTTTACTGTCGTGAATTTACTCTCATTCTGATTTCATTAAATTGGACTTCAGCAATGCCCCAATAGCCTAAAATGGTAATTCAAGCGGTTTCAGTAATCACTGCTTTTTTAAAACGAGTTCGTCGCACATTTTGGTCGCACACCTAATACTCCCTACTCGGTCCACTCTGTGTGGTTATTCATTCAGGCATTGCCACTCTCACAGTACCTAAACTCAGATTTAATGTGGACAGAACGTTTAACCAGCAGCTTTTGCCGTAACTACCGATCACCACGGATGTACCGACGTCAGAACTTACTGGTATAATTTATACTAATAAGGAAAGGGAAAATAAGACAGACCTCTCCGCATCAATTGTCAAAGCTAAGATGTTGAATAATCACGTAAAAAGAGTAGCGTGTTGATTAGCTTATTTATCCTCACATTCGTCAACGAATTTTCGCACAGTCAAGATGTTCATTCGATTGTGAAACTTGCGTGCGCCTAAATTCGGACCGTAGGTTGCTGAGTTCTGACTGACTTTACCCCCCACAAAACCGTCTCAAGTTATCTCAAGCAAGCGTAACGCCAGCTTACTAATTGACGTCCAGAGTATGAGAACACCCATAGACTGGTGTGTTCCTGAATCAACATGATCACAACCCTCTGCACCATCTCTTTATATGCAAATAGACTTTCCTGTCCTGTCTTTTTTTGATTCACCAATACGTGAAATTACCTAATGCAATGTGGTAGCAAATAACAGGAATTTTCCGTAAAAAATTTAAGGTTTAAAACTACGTATGCCTTTGGATAGATAGATAATTTAGAGCAGTTTTTATTGATGTCTAAAACAGTTTATTTGAAATATTTTATAGAAAATACGAAGATTCTACAAGTCCAATTTTTCTTGATATTTTTTTGGAGAATGTTCTAATTGGTACTGATTTGTTTAGTCATAAGTTATACGCTGCAATAATTTTGTGATTCCGTTCGAGCTATAGAAGGAGATGATCTTATAGGGGTTGGGGCAAATCTTGAGCAAACTAATGGGATGAGAAGCGTTTCGTTTGACACATTCTACACGTTACTGAAATCGATAGTTTCTTGGTCGGAATTGCGTTTATACATACACTTTTTTCCTAGGCAAACGGACCTTATCGCAGAGCCTTTAGTGAAATCGTCCAAGATTCGGCTGAGGGTTCGCCATCCACTAAAGACCAAAATAGAAACGACGCGTTCATTCGCTTTGGGCAGGTAATCTCGTAATCCATTCTAAACACGTTTATCTGTTTCATGCCACTAGGTTTTGCCAGAACCATTCACTAAGATCTAGTTTGCGTTGTGATAACAATACTTGTGGTTTGATTTTAAGGCTGGACAGCATATGAAACAAATGTGTGCATTTTTGTCTTCCCTAATGTGTCGTGTCGTCTTTGAAGTGAACCAACTGCTTATATTAGATCCGCTCAAGAGGATATGTGCAATGTACCTATGTTCGAAGTCTTCACATGACACGTATGAACAGTGAGGATAATTGGAAATGAATAGTTTGAGAATTAAACTTAAAAGTGGTTAATAAAATGAGGTGAATGATAGAACGTGTGACATTTGTGACTGAAATTATTTCCTTCATTTTCATGATCTCATTTAGTTCAAATGCGTGATTAGGATGTAAATTACCTGACCTGTAGAAAGTATTCCACTTTTATAAAGTAATTACTGATTCAAGGTTTGTATCATTGCATCTTCACAATGACTTTAGATGCTAAAATTGAACACAATTATTCGAGGAGACGCCCCTACCAGTTGTATCACCACTGGAATATCAAAACAGATTGTAAGACTTCCCTTGTTCTACTTTTTATATCTTCTAAATGTCGGTATGTTAGAAAAGAAAGCCAAGTCATAATCTGACTTCGCAGGTGTGATCCAGCGCCCCAACGCCACCCACACAAAACCACCACTCCTCCTTGAAAACTTTTCGGTCAAAATTAAACTCCTAATTTCAGGGCCATGATTTACCACCTTTTCCATAACCCAATATTTTTTGACCCTTAAATCTACTTAAGTAACTTGACTGTATTAAGCAAAACCAGATTAATGCCCTGTTCCAAGACCACTCGCTGTGGTGCGAATCAGCAGTGTCACCATTTTGTTTCGTTTCACTTTTCAATCCACTTAAATCAGCCACATTTCCTTGTCTGTTGTAGCCTTGGCAGCCCAGGCGATTGCACATGAAAATGCACGGTGACATCTCTTGCGGTGACGCCTGGGGTTAGTTTGCATCGTAGTTGGCGAATAATTTTCATCTGCCTGTTTGATGCACTACCTTTCCTTCCACATTTTAGGCAAAGTCCTACTTACTTGTGTCGATGGTGGAGTCTACGCTCTGGAAGGTAGGCTTTAAACGCATTGACAACAATAGTCTTTACCAATAAACTCAACGGGCGTTTCTTACACTACTAAGTTTTAAGATTCGTTAAAATTGCGTGATGTAATGTGAAATATTATGACTCACTCGTGATTGTTGTTAGTCTTAAGGCAGTCTTAAGGCAGTTTGCTTTCAGATGACTTTTGATTTTGTGCTTTCTTAGAACTAATTACTGGATTTTGCCATGAAAATTCTATACACCTGATTTTTCGGTTTGTCAATAACGGGTTAGTTATCGCTACACGACATTTTCCCGATAATGTCAATTATTGTTCCATTGCATAGCATTCATGTCAAGTATCATCTACTAATATATGTTCTAACGCCTAAATCAAGATACTTATTCATGTACTGAGGAATGAAGCGTGTTATGCAAAATACAAGTCTCAAATGAAGACACTGATGGTGACGCATCAGAGGGAATGTTTGTGAAGCTACGCTTGATCGTGATCGAGACGTCATTTTCAAGGAGCGTAAAGTCCATGTGCATTCATTAACCGCCCACCTGGGCATTCGCAGCAATAGCCCGTGTTAATTCTGACGTGGTCCTTTCGAGCACCTTACGAGGGGCGTTCAAACCTAACGCCACGAACTAGAATAAGACCTTTTGGGGAGGAGTTTCACGTGCCTCAATTTGACTTTATTAGTTAGCCTTTCGCCAATGTAAGGGTGTGAGGTGTAGGTGGGAAACGTTGCCCGCCAACTTTGTTCCCGTGTCCAGAAGAGGTGACGGTGCTCTAGAATCATCAAATTGACCCGTTCTGCGAAATGACACTGATGCTTTAGCCTCCCCACTTGAGCTCTTGATACCCCGGCTGATCGCACCTTAGTGGTAGTCCCGAGATTCCATTTTTGATTGCTCATTGCCTGGTGCTATTCTTTGGGTGGATTGATTAAAGTGAGGATCAAATGTAATTAGGGCAACACTGCCGTGAATTATTTGTATCAAAATAATCCTTTAAGTCCGACACGACGGCATTATCCTTCGAGGGTCACATAACTTATGCCTATGTGCTCACATATTCACGGTGGACTTCATCCCAGCTTTATCAGCCAAGCTTTACAGAAACAAAATTAGCCGATAAGACTCATATTCAAACTTCTAGTAATTACATCCCGGGCGAATAAAACCATCATATGTTTTGAATGTTCAAAAAAGCAAAGTGCTTTTTTAGGGTAATCGTTGGTAGCTTCAACAATCTCCATTTCACCAGATTTAGTCTTTTCTATGTCAAGACTAAATCTGCTTCGAACAGTTGTATAGCAGAAACTAAAAAATTCAAAATTATGCTATTTTAAAAGAATGCTTAATCTGTTTGCGAATTGTGCATCGTTCTTTATCTCACGAGATAGGCCATTTGGAGGTATGCTTGTATGACAGCGATCGACCACTGGAGATGGGTTTCGTGGGACTCCAAGCAGACATGGAATTCGCTGCTTTGAATTTGCTGTCCAGTTGGTGTTGGATGGTGGAAGGCATATGATTTGCAAAAAATCAAGGTCCAATTTCTGTGTTAACAATATCCCCGTTCTCACACTCAATTCAGTCTCTCTACTTTGAAGTCGGTTTCAACGACTTGCCTTGTAGTCGCTTAGCTAGGTGAGATAATGAGGTGATGACCCAGGAAGGGCGGGTTGACCTTTGCTTTTATTGCGCGTTGCAATTTTGTAAGCTGTAGTGAGATATAGTTTGCATGAATCACGCATGCAATGTTTTCTTTTAGAACATCAGCAACCTCTCCTTCTCATCGACAAAAGTGTTGATGTGAAACAGCTGAAGGTAGCCGAATCCTTTGGCATTATGATTCTCCGCCACGACAAAGGTACCATTGTGTTTTTCCACCTGCAAAATCGGAGCTAATCGGGGGTGATCGCGGTTTTCAGCCCTAAGTATCTTACCTGGTCCAGTAATTAGCGCTTATGCATCTGAGTCCAAGAAAGAAGGAACTCGTCAATTATCTTTGCTTCCTTTTTGGTGGTGAAACGTTTCATCTTTTCCTTGTACCTCACTTTGCGTCTTAAGGAGTCGGTGGCTATCGCATCAAGAAGGATGATATCACATCAAGAAGCATAACTGTGTTTCAAAGCAAATGACTTAGAATTTTATGCCATGTATAAACGTGAAAAGAGAAAACTAATGTTAGAGCAGCTTAGTTCACTTTTCATTTGGTTAATTTCATATTAATAAATGTAACCTTTTCCAGGTTCACATTTTACACCCATACATTTAATTATTCGATACTTCTTTCTACTAAAGGTCGCGAATCACGGATATCTGTGCTGCAATTAAGTGATTTACCCCTCGCAGAAGTTGTTGATCGTGGTCTTGTAAAACGGCACACACTGGACCGATCAAGAGGTGAGTAAACATCAACTATCCCTTCAATTTCGCATCAGATTTCAAAATAACGGCTGATTTTACACAGAGACTGTTTGCACGTCCACTATGGCATCTTAAAAGTGATACTCAAAAGTGTTACACCTTTTCACGCTCCCAGCAGCTCTTCGTCCTCGTGATTTGTTCGATCAAGGAACTTTTTTTTACCAAAAGGTTGTCACCTATTCTCAACAAGTACCTCAGCAACGAGACCGCTACGTCTCGTATTGGCAGTTGGTAGACGTCTTTTAATCTACCAGTGGCAGGTGGAGATTACTGGCCGATCGTTGTCCTCGTGGAACCAATTTACGTACTCCGAACTCACTGCCCGGTTTGTCTTTGTCCGTGTGAGTGGCCACTTTGCTTTAACATTCTGAATAGCAAGAGTAACTTCATGTTTACTTAAAAACACTGGCTGAAGTAGGTAAAATCCAAAGTAGTGAAGCGCCACACACTAAGACTCACCACCCAGTATTTCGTGGTGACCTTATGGCTCGTGCTGACATGTCTGAACACGCATTCCCCCGCACGTACCTTCCATGCCACTCACAGAACTCGCTATGCTATTCAGATACCCGCATATTCAGTCGAGCTGTATTGGTAAACAATCTTCATTTATTATTTATATTCATTTGCGGCCCTAAATCCACAATACACGAGCCATCAACCTAACGGACACTGCATGATCTTCGGCCATCTTAATCTTCTCATATATCGGATTAGTTTAATTGGACCAAGTAGCAAATATGCTGACCAAAGTACCGAACGTTAATTAGTCAGAGCTTTCTTTGAATGATCGTGGACGCTAAAGCAAGTTTCCTCTTGAGCGATGTCTTCATCTAACTTCCACTGTCGCGTAGATGACAAGGCTCACTACACAATTCGCGGGCTGAAGTAGCCAAGGTCAATTAGAACTCGATTGTTCGAAATTCAGTAGCGTGACACAGCTGCTTCTCTGTGCTCCCATAACAGTTTGTGCTTTTCCGTCTTAACAATGCCGAGTTAACTTGATAGGCCACTAGGCAATTTGTGCGATCGGCGGTGGTGCTTGCAGTTCTACAACTGAAATTTACTTTTACCTTCTTACTTTCTCTAGGAAGTCCCCACCAGCGAGGTCGTGCAGGTGCTGAGCATCCTTGATAGCAACATGGGCGGTCGCATTTGTGCAGGCTACCGGAACCAATTTGACTTGCTTGATGAACGCACTGGTGAGACGCTGCACCTCTATAAAACAGAAAATGGTAAAAGCCAAGCCGTTGCCGTTGTGGAGATGCGTTCTGACGATGATTTGGAGCTTCTGCTTTGTTTTAATCGTAAGTATTTCAGATGACGCTTAACAGAAGACCTATCTAATTTTTAGATTTTGATCCGATTTTATGGTAACTGGTTCACTAGGTTTTCGGCCTGAACTAGCCAATGGTTGTGCCCAAAGTGAATAAACCTGGGATAACACGAACCCTTTGTTCTTGGTCATCGGGCCTTCTAACTATGATAATGGTGATAGACGGTTTCAGAATACACGGATTTTGTGTCAAACCAATTTTAATTAAGTTGTTGATTTAAACCTACCTAACGAATATTTGAGAGAATGACAAGTGTGTTAGGCCCCCAAGGGGGTCTGAACTGTACTTATTTCCCTAAAATTTGAAGTGCATTAACCGAGTCAACTGATTGTAGCTTTTGTTCGGAGAGGGTTGTAATTCTACAAAGCAGTAAACTACAGGCTGGGCTGAAACCAATGAATGAATGTCTGTAAATCTGTACACTTATTAGCGTATAAAAAACACGTATCATGCAAATTCATTACAGACGTGTGCTAAGTTTCGTCAATTAAATAGAGGACAATTGGCCAGCGGCTTGCCAACTAAGAGGTGTACAGTCTGTGAACAAATGGTCGAACACCTTGGTTTACACGCCAGCTATTTCCCTCGCACTAAGTCAGAGACAAAACATGGAGGGTTAACCGCCTCCCCATGAAGGAACAAGACCTCGTCCAGGGAGGGGGTGGGTTGTACTGCCCCAGCCAAACACACGTCCAGATGCTCCCGTTTGTTTATCGCCTGGCCGACCTTGAGTGCAATTAAAAGTAATAGTACACTCAAAGATGTATGGCCGATATGAACACAACAAATGGTGCGCACGTGTGCGAATGGTAATGAAAAATAGAAATGGTCAAAGGCTCGAAAAATACAGTGTTGAGGATATTAAATCCCATTAAATTGTGTTGTCCGTTTTTCACTTTATTATAATTTAAATTATGAGGAAAATGAATTAATCGATGTAAAATGTACCTTCATTGAATCAGACGTGCATATATCTTGGAGAGATCAATCATTGCCACAATTGGATTTTCTACAACCTGGAAGGATGTTGAAATATTAATGAGCATTTACCTTGAAAGACCGTTTTAAAAGTTTCGTTAATTCATAGCAAACCCTTATCCAAAAAAAGAATTTGACGATCTAAAACTTCTATGCAAGACTTAACCTTTCATTTATTGTCTTCGGGATACACGAGGTCATTTTACTGCCAACGCAGGTGTTTTCTGCTGATTGACCGTGTCAGCTGTGGTAATGCTCCTTGTTGGACAATCCTAACCCTTTTCTCGTGCTGAATCTCTGTAACAATTGAAATACGACAGACCTCATGACGGTCTTCCACCTTGCAATCATCTTTCACATCGTTTCCTCCAATACGTTATCTATCGTACAACGGTTGTGATTGTGGGACCGGAATACACGGGAGAATAAATTATCGTGCTAGCATTTAAAGTTTTCCCATGCGAACTTACCGAAGAATCAACACAGAATTGAGCAGACTTTCGGCTTTGGCCTCTTCAGTGAAGCTATTCTTCGAGTGATAACGAGGTGTCGAAATAGATGATGATGCTAAACAACAACTGGTGTATTGTTTCTCATAGTATGTAGAAATGTTGATGACTGCTTCTTGCAGAGTCGATATTGATGTTTTGCTTTACGCTGCTCCTAGGCAACTGCTACTTACAAAGAATCACAAAGAGGAATTTACCGTTCCACGCTCACTCAGATCTTTTCAATGTCTGTTCATCCCTCGAGGTGCTGGAGCACCAAATTGTTGACGGAAATAGCTCAACCTCTCCGCTGATAAAGCCTTGTTTGACAAGCAATCGTATTCAAACAACTGCTACAACGGATTATAACTTTTCGTGGAACTTCGAGCCAAAGCATATTGGTAAGACTTCGCATAGTCAACACAGGTCGAAGGATCGCGAATACGAAATGTAGCTGATCTGTTGTTCTTTCTGTTCAGTCCTCGCACACCCCTACATCCTTGCATTTACCGAAAGTGCTATCGAGTTTCGCCTACTTCTGAACGGAAGCCTTGTGCACACAATGACTGTTCCAAACTGTATCCTGCTCTCGTCGAAAGTGAGTCTTTTAAACGCCTTACCTGAGCTTATTAGCCCAGTTGCATGACCGGTTCACTAGTCGCCGCTAACTGCTTTGACCTGTCTAAGCCATCGGGATATTTAAACAGCACAAAGAATTAACTTTTGGCATTTGCGTATCACCCCATTTCCAGCTGGAGTATTCGTTAGCAATTCCTGTTTTGCACTGTTTCTTCTTTATTATTTTTTTCTTATTTATTACCTATTGATTTCTCCAATTTGTTAGGCTGGTAGTGACTCGTTACTTAACTCTACCTTTTCTAATCCAATCTTGCTGACTAATTTGGTTAAAATAGTAAAACGTACGCTTTAAAACTCTTGGAAGTCTTTATAACGCAACTTCCACCTGCTCACAAACGTCCCGTGCTTTCCTGGAACTGCATCAACTTACAAAAGTACTTAGAAGGCTGATATTAGATGTTCCAGCAAGATATAACACGAAATATCCGAGGTAGAAATGAGACTGATGGAGAAAGGGAGACAGTCTCAACCAATGTTGTCGTCGTGCCTGCCTAATGCGATGTTTGGCCTTGTAAAAGTACATATGACTGAATGGCCAGATGGGTGAAACGGGTAGCGCGGGGGAGGGGCGTGCGCAGGAGGGTGTGAGCAGAGGGTCCAGCGCGGCTGACGGGCACACTGTGAAAAGGGGGCAGTGTTTCGTAGAGCGGATGTGACTCATCACGATTCACTGCACAATCAATAAACCGCCCATTCCGACTGACAGTTAGCTCAAAGGTGGCATTTTGATAACTATTGTTATTAATCGATCCGGTCACTCAGTGTGTTGCATTTATAGCATGATATTTATTTCGCGTCGAGCTCGGAAGCATTACACCAAAGCGTCCTTTCCAGTAGTATCTGTCGCCCACCACCATTAATGCTGCTACAGACGCCTGAAATCCCACAACCTGCACGACATGTCCGTCTCAGCCAACGGATCGGAAGTCCCCATTTGCATGAAAGATCCAGCTCTGGTAAGTAAACACTCATTTCAAACGTCATTTCATTTTCTTGAGTTCTCCTTCGGATCAACCGTCACAGGATAATGCCTTTCGAATTATTTTTCAACATTAGATATTCTTTTTAGTGGACTTAATGTGCTCGTTTTGTATACATATTGGAAAAAAATCTAGGGTTGTTGAACACGAATGACATTTGCGAGTTCGTTAGGCGATATCGGAACAAATCGACGTTGTGTGAGTTCGATTTTTAATAACCTTACTCCTACCAACAATGTCATTTAGTTGCGCATAACATGAAGCTTAGATTTATAGACGAAGTGGAGGTGTAAAATGTCTAGTTCATGTGGGGGGTTGCAAATTTCACGTATTAGCTAGAGCACATGCTTTTCTCGCAATAAAATTCCCATTTATTTTTCTGATTTCTGACTGAGTCGCCTTAAACAAAAGGAAGACCTGACGATGAAAGCAGCTCATCTGAAACCGCAAAAGACTGATTCACTTTGCCTCTAGGTGATAGTTCACTTGAATATTCGGGTGTAGTCGCTGCTACGCGCACTCCACCGCAAGGAGGCTCTCAGGACACGAGTAATCCACCATCAACCTGTCTGGCAATGGGCTCTTCAGAAGGCGGGGGAAGTCAGCACCATGCCATTCGCTACATCTACTGCATTCCCCTACAGACGCTTACGGGTCGTCACTACGACGGTAGCCCCGACAGAAGTAGCTGTGAATCCCCAAATCCCATAAGAGTGCTCGAGAAAATACGGGATATTCGCGATAACCCAGACACGCTGCAGTTCTTCCCGATTTCGCCTTCCTAAGTGATGCTCTTGCGAATTACAGTGCTGTCTGTCCACGTCCACGTCCACGCGGTCTATCAATCGCAACTTAACAGGCAGACGCGAGCGCTGTCGGCCGATCAGCTTCACCCCTTACTGTACAGTCTCCCCTATCCGACAAACTCACTATTATCGTGTCATATTATCGCCTTGCTTTTTCAACATAGCATATGCATTGACAAGCAGCATTCCATCCCCTTGGACCGCGTTTCTTTTTTAGTTTTTAATACAGAAAAAAGAAATAAGCCACCTTTTTTTACATTGATAATTGTATCTGTTACGAATAGGTTCGACTTTGATTTTCGGGTAAGCTTTGTGTAATCGAAACCGTAATCAATGGCTTGCATAGTCAGTTTATGACAAAACATTGACAGAAAACACTGCGAGTAGGACGGCATATTTAATGCAAAATATTCTGTTATTATGCGTTCGCAAAACAAACAAGGTACACTGGAAAACAAGGGTAACTAGATGAGAACTCAAGTGCCCTAAGCATTGTAGTGGAATATCCGATCATATTTGCAAAGTTAACAGAAACAACACTGATGTAGATTACACCAATCCGATGGCATGAAACAAAAACACGCCAAACGCGTTGACGCGGATTTGCGTGCAAAAAAATCCACAAACAAATATTTTACCCACACTCCACGTAAAAACAGTTAACCGAATGAACTTATTATGCTCCATATGGTTAAAACCAATTACCCAGGACACCTGCTATCAGTAATTTCCACGTCAACGTCCGAAGCATTTATTAGCGACCACCACTTCTTGCTTACCGCGTTCTCTTGAGTTTAATAGACCCAACCGCTTTCCACTGATGACGCACACCGAGGTGGCGCTGGAACATTTATCGGCTGCAAATGTGAATCGATTCAGCCTCTCCATGGAGGGTATCGAAGCTCTTCACAACCCAAGTCACTAGCTCCAATGCCTGCTCTAGTATTTACTACTTCAAGAAGGAGCTGTAGAGTGGATAAATTAACAATATCGAAGCATAACAAACGCTCAATACTACCTATCCGGCTCCTTCTCAAAGCAGAAATGAAACGTCTTGTTTAAGCACAAGACAAGAAGTCACAAGTCTGTTCGAAGCTTCTCGCATCATCCTTCGTCGGCCTGCTGAAGCACTAAATAATTCATTAGATGACAGTCTAAGAATTCATGCAAAGTGCACGGTATCAAGTCGAAAAGGTCTCTTATAATATTGAATTATATTTGGTGAGTTCTAGGTTGTCCCATTAAAGTTTCGCATCACTTTTTGCGTGCCCCTTTTAGAGGCTTACCGCGTCATTGTCGTTCGTTCAAATTAAGGAGGCTTGTTCGTGCTGCCAATCAATGGCCTTGCCGTAAAACCGTGATTACCTGTTTGTGCTAAAAATCAGTGCTCAAACGGCCAAATGGTAATTGCTAATTAGCATAAGTCTTGATTATGGCTTGCCAACCGTTAGACACTGTTGTGCCTAGAGGATCAACACACTTTCACACCTGCCCTGTCGTGTCAATATTTCGCCGTTACCAGGGTCGGTTGGTTTCGACGAACACCAGCTTTGTAAAGTAGATCCACCAACCAATGCCATCTGCGAAATAATTAAAACTGGCGTAATATTAATAATCACCATTTTTAGATACTTTAACTTCCATAAATTATTTGCTACCGTTTAATGCCTTCGAGTAAGCTGGTTTCCATACGTTCACTGAGTACTATAGAACACAATTCCCGAACTCACATTATCTTCTGGCCGAATGTGGCACATTTGCGTTTACATTTTACAAATTGCTCTTTTTAGGGTACCATCGACCAGTTTCACTTTGATTTCACTTCTCCGTTTCCTGCTGAGTTAACAATGGTTTTCATTTTGGTGCTTTATAGAGACACATCAGATTGGTTAGTGAGACATCAATGAACCGAAATATGACCGGTTCTGTATAAGAAGCCAAGTGATGTTGATAAACAATTTTGGCCTTCCTCAAGCCAACAACTTTACAAAATTGTTGTAAAAAAGAATTTAGTTTTCTGAGGGTTTCAGTTGGAGGTGCAAAGGTAACCCCGTTAAGATCATACTAACTTTCTTAGTTAACGAGACACTTTCTTCTAGCCTTGACTGAATGGCGTCTTTGAGGAATTCGGTCACTGCGAATGGCTGCTCTTGGCTTGACCAAAGAGTTAGCGGTGGCGTAGGGGAAGAGCTGTTGTCATTTTCCAAGGTAGTTTCTTGGGATAAAGTTGGCGACACGTTTATCACGGAGCTAAATCCGGTTTCAGGTGGTTTGGTACACTGGATGAATGTGGCTGGAGAGGCATCACAAGACTTTTCAGGGACAGAAGCGTCGGCAATTCGATAAACTGAATTCGCCTAGCGAAGGAGAGGGGCGTCGAACCAAGTGAGAAACGGCAACGCTAACTGCACGTTTAAGGTCAACTACTGGAAACGAGTAATGGTCTAAATTTTACAACAGAGTACCTTTTGGCACCCTATTCATCCGTACTTACATTTCACGACTACCTCGTGCCCATCCTTTGTGCGTGGCAAAAAGCAAGCACCGAGCACCTAGGCAACCCCGCAAAGCCTGGGGAAGTGGAACTTCATGAGGTTGCCTCAACATCCGTCAGCTTAGTTTTTTATAATATATTTGTGAATGCTGGCTTTCTATTTTCATTCGCTCTTTGTATATTAAGTGCATTCTCGACGGTTTAGATTAAAGAAAAGGTTATCAAACATACTGCAAACATTGGAGGGTTGAGAAATGAAGGGGATTCATCAAAGGCAACACTTGTACCATCATCCTGCAGTTCATTCCTCAATGTCGGCGTTGAGTCACCCTGATGGGATGAGCCTGGAGTAAAGTCTGCTTCATTTGTGACAACGTCAGTCATCTGGAGATTACTGATTTTTGGTAACACCAGCTAAAGTGTGTTTGCGTATAGAAATATCTTAACAGATACCTTCCAAGGTAGAGTAATGAATTATGTGCGTACGGGAAAAGTGTGGTGCATTTCCCTTGTCTGTAATCGAAAATGCAGTATTTAAGACGGTACGTGCCCTAGTCACCAATGAAAAACCGACGGGACTGGAGAGGCAATAAATTACAATCACCCTCTCGGTTCTAAAGGTTGCAACTTATTGCTTTCATGGGTAATCAAACCACATGCTGTAATTACATGGGAAGGTTGGTTTTGTGAACCATAATTTGCCTTATGCCACTCCAGTTTTGGGGGTGGGTAGATATTTCGTTGGCTCTAGCTTTGACGGTCCCGTTACCGTTACTCTGGTTACAATTACTCCGAGTTTTGACCAACAGCCTGCCTTTCAGAGATTTGGTGTTAACAACCTGCATTTAAGCGTGTCATGTCCCATAGTAATCTATTATTGAAGAGTATTTAAATTAAAAATTGTGGTTCACTTTTTACCTCATTTTCGTCATTTTGTCGTAGCAAAAAGGCAAAGGCACTACCTGTGGACCAAATGGATGTGTGTGGGACCAAAACTCACGCCAGTGCATTCTTGATTTCTGGTTGAACATCCCGTCTTCTTAACTGCAATATTTGTACCAGGTTTCCGTTTGCCTCCGGGTTTTGTCCCTTGCGCCGTAGGACTGACCTTTTTCTGGCGTTTCGGCCTAGACGTCCATTGATATGCCTGGTTAATGTTGTTTGCGATTGGCTGGAATTGAATACCACTTGAATCGTCAGTATTTTCGTAGCGGTACCCATAGACCTCAATCCTTGTCTGGAAAGAACCAATATAATGAACAAAGAATGTACTAAGAGTTTGAAGTAGACATAATTTAATGGAATTACCTGGATGGGTAATTTCAAGGCGTCTTCTGCTTCTGCAATAGCTTTTTGAATTCGCGGCCAATGTTTCCCTTTCTGTAATAAAAAAAGTTAGAAAGCTCAATTTAATAACACAAGACAAAAAATGTTAATGACTCAATTCACTGTTTTAAAACCTCGGAATACATTAATTAAAGTGAAGCAAATAACATTAATGCGAAAGCGAGTAATGTGTGCAACAACTTTCGCACGATTTCAGTCACCTGAAAACATACCTTCAAACAACTGACTGATGGTGGTCTGGACAAATGTACTCTTTCACGACTTCAATAATTCAAGTAACTTTCGACTACTTTTCAAAGTAGAGCCAACTCAGTAGACATGAAATGATTGAGAAATCTTACCAACTGACCTTTATTTAAAACCAAACAGTTTAAATTTAATGTAGATAACGGTGTTTCTGCTGAGCAGCAATTTTTGCAAAGGAACATCCCGAAAATCCTTTGGATCACACACAAAGCACCACTTTTGCTGACCGCTGGACACACTCAACAAAACAACAAGTCAGAAATAGGAAATGTTGATAATATTACCGATTAAAAGCCACAGGATTGCATATTCCATGAAATGAAAGAAAGTTTAAGAAAAGCTTAACCCAGTAAAACGGTCGTCACAAACTAATCCACGCATACTTCAGCCACAAAGACCAAGCATTCCCACGGTATTGCTGTGGGTTTAGAGACTGAGTCTTGCTCTAGTTATGCTATCAAAACGAGTTTCCTTTTCACACAGAGCACGTCGTTGTTAATAATTTTCGTGCTTCAAATTTAATGCCCTAGTGACTGTGTTTAACACCACGTATTAACGCAATCAACCTTAGCAGATAATCGGTGGCTTAGGAAAACATGATGATTTGGGGTTCCACCGTCGAGATAGTGACTAAGAAAAGTCATAATTAATTACCACTTAGTTTGAACCCTTCGTGGCGTGTTGTCATTTAATTAACTTCAAGCCGTTGACATTGCCCTAACTCTTTTACGAATGACACCACAACTAACTGAAAACATTTACGTGCCGGTTGCCTACAGTAGAAAGCACAGAATATTTACAAAAGAAAAACAATAGGAGGACGTGTTTGGCATTGGATTGGCAGAATGCAAGAGGAATCAAAACTAATTTACTCAAGTGACCACCTGCCTGCTTCCCAATGAATTAGTAAATTAAGAATTTACATCTTCACTGTCACACTGCACTTTGCATACGCGTCTAAGGTGTCCTAAACGCTCTTAGATACGTTCTGAAAATTGACTAGAAAACCGCCTTACCTCCCGAGGTTAGGTGCAAAATAAAAAGAAGCCCCCTCATTTGACTTTTACGTGTTGCTCAAGCAGAAGCTATTTTAATCAAAATAGGGATGCATAATTTTGCTTTTAGATTTGAGCAACAATACGATGATAACATGAAATTCACTTCAAATGTAAATATTATTTGTGGAAAATCTTCAAGGCAACAAATTTGGTATCCAATTTAAATACACAAGGCGATTCTTTTACCGTAGTGTAAATTTCGTTTAAATGCAAAGCGTGTACTAGTTTCTTTAAAGTAAGCATAAACAGCGCCACCTATGAATATAACACGTCATGCACTGCGTATTTGAAGACAATCGAGCAAATTTGTACTGAACCTGCAGACGCTCTACGAGCTGGGTGGCTAATTAAAACTCCTGCCTTGTTGAAGCACGAACAGCGAAGTACGACACAAAATATAAATGTGTATGTGTGCTTGTGTGTGTCATAGTTTTTTTTTAAGAGTGCTCGGCTTTCTTAAATTCAGCGTGTCTTCGAAACATCAAGACGCACGCCTTCAAAGCCGTCATGAATGCAGTCTCATGCGAATTGAAGTGTTGACCCGCGTTACGCTCTAAGTAGACGGTGATGCTGAGGATCATTCTGACTTAAGTTCTGGTGCAACTGTTTTCAGTCTTACCCGAATGTGACCATGGATAATCTTCCCAGACACATATTTCCGAAGATGGTTGGCCGCGAGCCTTTTGGTAGTCATGACGTGAGGATCAAGAAATACCACCTGGTAGTGGGTAGCTTTGTGGGTCACCAAATCGTAGTCCGCGTATCGGCCTCTGGCGTTCAGATCAACCATCGCTGGCCACCAAGGGTAACCTTAACGAGGGAGGCAAAGTATATGGATGGGCACCACCCCAAAATGTACATTAATCCTACAGTGACGTTAGGCCAAAATGTGCCTTTTCATTCACGATGACAATTAGAGTCGCTTCCCAAGGTGAGGTCATATGCCAAGTAAATCGCAAAACAGAAGTGTTTGTGTCAGGAAATCATAACAAATTAGATAAAACAAATTGACGGATATTGACTTGGTTTCTGTTTACTGTGTTATGGACTACTTATGGTGATCAGCTGAAGCTTATGAATATGGAAGAGCGAATTGTCATGTATTGTAATTAATGGCTTCACCATGACACACTCGATAAAATACGCATTTTTCACAAATTTGATGGCCAAGACTGCACACATGGTCTCATTAATACTTGTCAGGTGGCCAAAATAAAAGCGACATCATAAATCAGCTTTACAATTGGCAATAAAATCACTAGATTTTCAAAGCAGACAGATGCAGAAAATGGTCACTAATCATTTCAGTTTGAATTCAAAAGCATGACCACCATTCAAAAAAGAAGCGATGCCTCGCCCTTAACAATCAAATGTGCTGCACTCGACAAGCAAAGGACGTCGGTTAAGTGTTCACTGAAAGGGCTAGGCCCAGAGTGATTAAGCGGACAGCCAAGCATTCAAATCTCCGACAACATTGGATTGCTCTGATAATAACGGCAGTTTAACATTTATTAGTACAAATAAATTGGGTGATGACTATGGAAATCGCCTAAATTTGCAGTTTGAATGATAGTTCGTTAATGGCCAGGATTAGAAGCCGATGTGCATAAAATATTGCTGGCTTTCAAATTATCAATTTTGCAATCCCATCTACCTATTACAGTATTGACATGTTGACATGGACGCAAGCGCTTAAGGTTTATTTATGCTTTACGTATGAGAGGTACCCACACATGGCCAAATTGTAGGAATTTGGCTTATTAGACAATTGATATTTTATGTGCCTCAGTAAAGCAACAATACGACCTATGAAAATTAGTTTACCTGTCGGTTTTTAATTTTTAGGAAAATACCTACAACTGCGATTTGGATGTTCGTAAAATGAATCTTTTGTTAGAACTAAATGATGCCAATTCTAAGTAGGTTTGTTATGAATTGGTTACAGAGTTCGAAACAACAGGGTTGACATCGCAGCGTTGTTAGATGCAACTTGACAAGGTACGACGTCAATGTACACTATTTGGGAAACCATTCGACCTCACAGCCCCACCACAACCAATCACCATCATGTTACATAAACCTGTACACACTAGGAGAGCGTGGTGCGTATTTGCTTTGCGCCTACATTTAACTGAAAGGGACAGGTCTCAAAGAGGCTTCAAGAGCAAGCATGACCTTGTAAAACGACTCAGTGGTGATCAGGCTGCACACTTGACTCACCCGCCCTCCGCTCACCGCGTGACACACGCACACACTTACACATCCTATCGGTACTTGGCTTCATTAAGGCAAAATTCGTGGCTGCCACTGAATAACAGCTAGGGAGGTTACAACAATCGCTCAAAAATGAAAACATCATTGCCAAGATTTTCGCTAGCATTTGCAGTAACCTAGGTCAAGTAAAACTGAATACCATCGCCTGGTAAGGTTCAAATAGTTAATGCTTCACTGCAAAGTAAAGCAATTCCTTCAGTCAGTCCTAGTTGCGCTCAAAAAATAAACAGACACACAGTTGGGTTGCATCTGACAGGCATCAAAACGTGACAAAGTGCATAGAAAAAGGATTCCCTCCCCAGCAGTAATTACTCTTTCCTAATTAGGAACTAAGGGAAAAAACGTTGGCCCGGTCATTTTATGCCCCATGGTTTAATGCGTGGCTTTAAGAATCTGAAGGCCTATTGCACTCTCTGACTAGTAGTTTTTTTTATTTCAGTAGGCATCAATAAATAACTCAGGCGGGTTTAAGAAATTTGCGGAATCATGATGAGATTGTTCTGCTTCATTTTTAATTATTCTGACAAACTTTTTAAGAAATCCCATTAGTGGATTATAACCTAACTGTCCAGTGTGTGTGTGAATTTACAGGAATTTGGACGGTACCTAATTAAAGCAGCGTGCCAAATGCAAAATAAACGCACCCACTTAAAGCATAACAAAATTAGCACGGCCAAGGTGATCTTGAGTTACATAAATAACAACCATTCTCAGGCAGTTTGCAAACAAAAACAAGTCATACTGTAGCGGCCGGGTTGACGTGTGGGGCTCGATTAAAATGAGAGGAATTAGCCCACTAAATGTGACAGAACACGCATTTTATTGCACTGCAAGGCGTAAAAATGTACATTTATTTTGAAATCCATTCTGATTTGACAGGTAGGTGTAGATACTCGATGGTTGCTCCATCGACCACTCCAACTTCAGACAACAGTGAACCATAGTCTTGCAAATAATTCCCGTCGGCAGTGTTCTTAAGCCAAAGAGGGCCGGGAGTGCCACCTATTTCTTTTTTTAACGCGTTCATCGCATCTAGTACCGTAGAATCACGAGCCAACTGAATAAAGAATGTATTGTTGGGGTCCTTAAATTGGATCAACATTGTTGCAGACTCAGAATTTTTCGGCTCTTCTGTGGCAATAGTATTGGTCGACCGAGTGTCTACCAGGTGCAGAGTGTCGCCGTCATTAAGGCCCAAATCCTCCAGACTTCTGGACAAGTCAGAAACATGAGGGAGATCTTTTTTAAGTGAAAACTGCTGATGATTGATTGGGACACCGGTTTCTCGTTCGACCTCTTCACTTACCTCTTGGAGCGTGGAATTTCGATCCAGGTATAATGTAAGGGGATCGACATTGTTGGCTGAAATGTGCACCTTCAATTTAGACATCTCATCGTCCTGTGATGGCAACTTCGGTTGAATGTCCTCAATATAATCATAGCTGGTGATTGAAGGGTAGCTACCAGGAAGGCGTCTAGCGACGACAATGCAAGAATCTCGTTTGATTCCATAAGCTTCTAGGCTCTCATTGTCATCTAATAACCAGTGGTCAAAAAGCAGGACCATCTCAGACAGCTGGTTAACGGATTCCGGAAACTTTGATTTGATAGCTGACCGCAGTTCACTCACTTTGGCGTCTAGACGAATCGGCATGGTTAGAGTGCGATCGGCGGAGAGAGAGATTTTGACGTGAGTGGGTTTTTTGTAGCTTGCGCGCAAGTAGAGCTCAAGCGGGACAACGACATCGAGTTTGGGCAGTTGATAATCCCTTAGAGGGTGTGAATCCTCAAGGAAAATTCCCTGTAGAGTAAGAATTTGATCCTTGGGTGGTATGAGGATGCGCCGACTAATGGCCTGCTTTATCTCGGTGATAGTCGTCTTTTCAGTGACATTGACATTAAAGAGTTTCTGGGAGTTATGCACAATTTTTACCTTCATGGCTACAACTGACTAGTAGCAGCAGCTCAAGGCGAAAGTCTGTGTTAGATATTGAAGCTTTTGTTATCGCTTGTACGCCTCACGCGTGCACGCCTTCCCGCGTAAACCAATGGGAAACAGCAAATATGGAGGCGTGCCAAATGTGACACTAGTTCATAAAATTTGCAGATTGGTGAACCTTAATCACCTGCATGTACTTTTGCAGATCCGAAGTCGTCGCCGTTTCTGGTAATAAGCCTCCACAAATGGTCCAATAATCAAGTTCGTTTGATTTAATGGAGTATCTTCGAGACACATACAACCTAATGAAACTGTGGGGCCACAAAAATGTCTCTTTTGTACACAACAAAAGTGGTATGTCCACTGACGGTGCAGGCCAGATCATTAGAGAAAACATTCTACGGGACCATTTCAAGTAGGATAGCAAATAGCAGCTGGGTTTGACGATTATAGATTATTCAATCGCTCTGGATAGATGTTTGTTTCATAGACGCTTAGTGAAAGACAATCTAGTACTATGACGTAAGGATCAATAAATGATGAAGTTGCTTCACAAAAACCCTCCTTTGATGGGAATGTTTGTATCGGCCTCCATACCTTTAGGATTCAAATACAGCCATGACGTGTTAATTACGTAAAGACCGATCAACCACAGAGTTTTCAAAATAAGCGACATTTTGGCTAACGTCGAATTAATGACGTAACTTGAAGATTGTAGAATTCGATGTCTGCATAAGTTGCATGGAGTAAGTTTTTTTCCTACCTAGTTTCTATCCCCGAAATTTCGCACTCTGTAACTTTGAAATAACTTAATTACTTTCTTCCCAATGTAACCGTTATAAAATAATAATAATAAACCAGCATATAAAATGATGATAAATACTCTTTTTCAGTATCAAAGTGCTTACGACCATAAGGCATCCTACCAAAAACGAAAATGCTACTTAAAAACAATTAGCATAATTGGGAGAAAAGCTAAAGGTACCCGTAAAGAACACAAGGGTGAATGTAAGGCATTTCTCACGTAGGTGCTAGCCACAATGAACGCCCTCAACGAGGCTCAGTGGATTATCCTTAATCTGTGTAACAGGGTGTAACAGTGTGAGATTGGGTGGCAGTCAGTGGTTGACGCAGCATCTGGTGATGGGTGCATGGTGGTAGTCACCGGCGCGGCATAACCTCGCAGCTGAGTGGCATGTGCAGCAACACACCTCGCATCCGTAATAACCGTGAGAGAGGCGAATGACATGCCATTGCAATCAATTGCTTTTTGCTACGTTGAAGGAGGTTTGAACTGCTCAACTTATTGCCATCGTCTCGCACTGAACATTTTGTCAGCTTGTCGCGTCTCATGGTAAATAGTGACTACCACAGAAATTTGAAATTCACATAGCAGTAGGGTTAAATGGATATGGTTGAATGATTCACCTATTTGGATGTTCTGGGCCGGAAAAAAATGTACTTAACGAGTTGACTGCTGGTTACTGATTCACGCAGGGGTGAAAGTCGTCCCCCATAAATCCTACTGACAAACTGCCTAAAGTTAAAAACAGCTTTAAATTGCAACCGATACTAAATCAGCAAGGTCACTTTGAATTACGCTTTAATATCCATTGGTGAATTCAATAAATGGTTTTCCTAGACTTAATAGGATCGAACCATACAGGGATCCAAGGAAAAGTCACGCTTCACCTTCGAATGCACGAAAGGGATCCTTAGATTTAGAGCGGTAACTAACAAGTAAGGGCAGTGGTGGTGACAAAACCCGTGTACTTGTAGAGTGAATGATTACGTTAAACGCCACCGCCAATATCATCATTCCGAGAATGGATATCAAGGACCGTTATTTGAAAGGCCCAGAAGAACCGTTTAGGTAGGCACCACTTTTAATTTAAGTAGTAGCCATCAAAGCCAGTTTTTCCGACAAAATCGGAGAATTTTCAGCAGCCTCTAGTGTTCAGTTTAAGCAATGAATTGACTCTTCAGAGACAATGAATCTCACGAGAAAGAAATGGTCTACTTGAAAAGAGGGTTCAATTATAGCCTATACTAAGCCACTGTATAGGCAACGTGTTCCTTTATAACCCCGAATATATCCATTCACAGTGACTAGTTAAAGTCGCCAGGAGACCGCAGCTGCTTCTTCTGCAAACGAGGAGTCAAACATCCCTTTAGACGATACTTGCACACAGTCAAGCTGTTCCTAAATGCATGATCAAGCCCAATGTATCCATTGAGTCTAGAAGCATTCAACTAGCAAGTGAAATGCCCACTAGCATATAAGGGCGTAAAAGGTCTGGATAGTGAAATTTAAAGAGTTACTTCAAGGTAAAGCTAAGCTGTCTTTGGTTACCTAAGCAAAAGACGTACGTGTAAATGAATGGGGACGGCAATTTACCTGGCATTTTTGCCCAAACAACGGAGCCAGCAGTGAACTCGTTGTAGACATAGGGGTGCGCATCTACGATGTGTTTAGATGACTCATCTTCTGATTCCTGGCAAGGGTCGTGTTTGTCGTCGGTCATCTGCCACTTTAACTGGAGGCCACAGGACCAGTCGGTGGGGACTTCACTTGGGTCCGTAATTTCCGCAACGTATCTCCACTTCTTACACTTGACGCACTCGATCCATGTGCCTGGTTTGAAAAAAAATGTGGAGGAGATAAGGGCTTTGGGTGTGCTAAATCGGTTGAAGCAGCTTAACACAGGCACAATGCTAAGGACGTCCTACTGGGTTCTTCCTGACGTGTATAGAGCTAATAAATTTCATCTTGTCAAGATCAAACAATAATAGTAATCATCATCATCATCATCATAAACTGATTCTCAGGAAACGATCCTTACGAGAGATTGCAAGGTTCCTTTTTTGGTAGGCTGTGCCACGGAGTCAGAGGTTATCCCCTGCGTCAATTTAAACAAACAGTGTTAACATCAACCACTTTTAGTTACAGAGACATAGCTTATTTTTTTAAACATCATTAAGATTCCAATTTAATTTTCTTTACATACAGAAACCTTGCCACATATCATGGCCCAGACTGAGCTCCTTATGATACAAAATTCGACAAATCTTAGTGGCCAACATAGTGCATTCGGTACTTGGAAGAAATACAATGCATGTGGGAGTTCACATCCCGCCGGGTAACAAAACATAAAAGCGCAAACAGCTGGCAAATTTTCTTCCATTTGCATTGTGAATTACCGTTATAACTCAATACGCGTTGAAAACACCAATAAGTGTCAGATTGGGATCGTCGATAGTAAAAAATTCTATGTTTAAATCACTAACCTGGTGGTTTGTAAGGTGTCTCGGCTCCGTCCAGAATACTAATTTGCTCAAATTGGCCTAATTTGTCCTCCGCGATGTTGCTATTTTCCCGTTGAATTGATGACACTGATGAGTTCCTGACACAAGTACCTCTACCCTTTGAGAATTTCGACCTTGGCTGGCTCAGAGGTTGCCTTTTCGCACCGAGAGCCGCCAGCAGTGCCTCTTTACTGCTGCCTGTTTCTTTCATTTCTACCAACTGTTCCAGCATGCCGGTAAGAAGTTGAAGGAGGTCACGCCGAGTGCCATTTTGATCGTTTGAGTTTTCAGACACGAATGCCATCCCAGCAGATTGTTGCTGGCGTCGGCGTGGAGCTATGTAGGAGTCGTAGAGGACGCGAGCAGACTTCTGCTCAACCTCGAGTAGACTGAGCTCAATGCATTGCGAGGTCACCATGGTGTACCTGAAATCAAGTTTAATTGGCAAATTTGTGGAAAGACAAACACAGTAAAGCATAAGCCGATCTGATCGGGTTTACAAAAATGGAGGACAACACCTCTAATTTTGCCACGCAAACCGCCAACTGACTTGAACAAGCAGGGAACTGTCTTTTCAGTGGTACCAGGCCACAAAAGATTCCGAACAATCGGCATTCCACCTAACCTTGACTACGTCAGCCCACGAACTGTGCAGTAGGCCTTGTCACCTACGTGACAGCAAGAATTCGGTAGAGGCATCACTTAGGTGCAAACTTGCGTCGCTGTCCACGATCATTGAAAGAGCACTGACCATTTCACGTCCGGTACTTTGGTAAGCATATTTACCACTTGCTGAAGGAACTCAACATGTAGTGTTTCACTAAAAACTTTTCTTACCAAATCTGTCACTTATACAACGCTCTTCTTCCGGCTAGAAGGTTTAGAAGCCGTAAATGAGGTGAATTACCATCTAGATATCTCATCACGATAAAGAACGCAAGTTTTAAATAAATCTTTTTATCTAGAACATTTGGAAAACAAGCTTCTAGAAACTAATAGCTCTTTAAGGATCATAAATATATATATTTTCTGGGATAATCAAAAGTCTATATGACAACTCCTGGAAAACAAAACAGCATTTTGGGGATTTTCCCTGTTGCTTGCTGAGATTTCCCGGAAGTTACCATATTTAATGTTTCTTCACTTATTTTCGTCTTACCAAACATATACAGCTTCAAATGGCTCAATGCACAACATTCGCCTCAAAACCTCACTAACCCACCAAGTACCCTGTTTGTGCCCAAACATGCCTTTAAAAAAGAACAAACAACGGAAAACTGTGCGATATTTGTTCGACAGGTTTTTACTTAAACAAAGACGATACAAAATACAACGGTGCAGAGGGCGTAAGATAACAGGGTAAACAATCTGAGCTGACAACCGGTCACACCTAAAATGGTAAAATTATAATGTAAATCGTTTTTGCATATATCTATGCCATAGGCAATAAAAAAGGACGTCCGTTTTCTTGATTCTCGGCCTGGTGTATGCGAGTAATATACGAGAACCTAACTTCTCACCATTTTTGCCACTTAATTACCGCGACTTCGAACAGTCGACCAGTCTCAAGTTAACGTATTAGTGCTAAGAGGGAAAGAAGCGCATACCAACTTTATAGGTTTTCATTAATCTGTTTAACATTACGTTTGACGACAGAGTAATTTGAGGAATAGTGAGCAGATATTGTGAGTTTAAAGTCAATACAAAAACCCCGTTGTTTTAAAATCAAAACCATGACAACAATCAGTACTTCACATCTGTCTTGCGAACATTAGCGTAAAAAGGTGTTTCAGACCATTTGAGAACGAAGAACTACGCGAATACACCTCAAGATTTGATGAAAATCCAAAAGTCTCCACGATAGTTGAGCCAAAAATCAATGGTCATTTGAATGGCCATCGAACAACTCTGTGAAACGGACTCAAAAGGTGTTGAGAGTTTACGAGCCTTAGTAAAAAAAGTTTGCACAAAATGAGGGCATAGCGCAGGTGTCCAAATTTGGTTCTGAAAGCACTCGAAGATCTCTTGAATAATAAGCCATGGAAATGGAAATAAAAATTGCCTAGCTAGAGTGTGTGAAACTGTGCGTAGAGGAAATTCAACAGAATACAGGCTTTGAAAGCACTACCTAAATCACCACCTCATATACAACGGACAGTAAAATGAAAATTATATCAAAAACACCAGTTTACCAAGAAGAACTGGAAAATTTGTTCCAGATTTTACGATAGTTCAGTCGATATTTTCTCAGTCCAATTAAAGCTTAATGGGAGGAAGCTAGACAGAGGCAGGCCTTAACGAGGGTGTCAAAGCCAATATTAGATAGAAAAACAAGTTCAGGACACCAATATATAAAGTATTAATGACGTGAAAAATCAGAAAAATATGCTCATTTGCTTCTCGTAGAAGTACGGTTTAGGATGAAAACCCACCATTAACTGGAGCCTGGATAAGGGTATCCATATTTAAAAATACGTTCCTAAATTTCAGTAAAATTAGATTTAGTGAGGTTAACAGATACTTCAACTGGAAGCCTTAGCGCACGTTGAGCTTCTTCAATAGCTGTCTGAAGTTTTCTCCGGTATCTTTCATGCTAAAAATCAAAGAGACAATCATGTGACTATGAGCAAGTTACAAAACGAAAGAGCCCGAGGGCATGACAAGGCGGACACAACCGCTTGTCTCAAATGCACTGCCTTAAATGCCTTAACGGACCCAGACCAAAAAAGACATGTGACAGGCGGTGCGACCGTTCATTCGAGTACAGGCCAAGCACATCCGTGTGTTCGCCGTGGGCACCTTCTATAGACAACCTGTGAGCAAGGAGCGATAAGCTGATTGTGGAAACTAATGAAGAGGAACGGTGAATCACTCACAGGTCAGCGTGATGAAAAGTTGTTCGGATGACCGTCACTCGTAGGCCTTACGTGATGATCCACTGCTGTCAAGTTGACTTAAGGTAATTATTCAGGTAGAACGGAAACTGAAGCCAAAGTGCTTTAAAGGTTTCTAGTGAATTAACCATTCTTATTTGTAGTGTTCGAATCTTAAGAATACGCCAGAGTATTTTCTTGATCTACCGCTTCTTTAGCATCTTTTAAACCCTGCGTAAAGGCCTTCGCTAGCAATCTGATTATGCAGGCGTCTCATTGGGTGCTATGTTGATCAACCAATTGGTGATGCTGTTATGACCGACAAACAATAATTAAGGATGGGGAAGTGAAGAGATTCGGATCATTTCAGTATCGACGGGCAATTCGGGATCATCTTAGACATTAGCTAGAACACATTTTACTGAGCTAATGCAAATTAACTTTTTCTTGAACCGAATTAAAGAATTTCAACGCTAAACAACAGAAAACTCCGCTTAATCATCTAAACACCCAAGGTAATCACAACACGAATCGCCTAATCGCCACTACCAGTCCATCCAATTTCGCATTAAAATGTGCTGTGAAAAAAAAACAATGCAATCACAATATTTACTTCCCTCTCTTTATGTACTACGGGAGGATGGTCAGCTTAATCATCACCGCCGAAAAGGCTCGCTCCCAAACCTGACACCTAAATGCTCAACGGGCCGTTTTCCTACCCCAGAGATCACCTTGAACTATCTGCTGGTATTATGTTATTATTCATCTTTATTTACTCGCCTGATTACGGATCACCCATTCATTCAAGTGGTTCGAGGTCTGAAAAACAACTGAAACAGTAAAGTACTTCAGTTGTCGACCTACATAAAGTTGACTTATTCGACAGGGGAGTGACGTCAGCCCAATTGGTTCATTTAGATAACACGTCATCCCACGATTGCTGGGTGTCGACCTTATCGATCCGTCCAATACAACAAACGGCGACTATTGTAAATAGCCATTGGCTGTCAAAATTCGCTAGTTTAAATTGTGTCACATCTAACATGCATCGTACGCAATACACACCATGTCTGCATCCAATAATATGCTCACGGTTGATTTGCTCCTCTCTATTCATCGTTGCATAGAGTGCAAATAAACAAGGCCATTTTATCCATCCGTTTCCTTAAACTACTTACTGAGTCTGACAAAAAGTTGCCACCGTAAAAGGTTAGTGTTCCGACGGTTGTCCGCATAAAAAATGCAAGAAAAAAACCAATATGCGTAGGAAGGAAGCGACTTCGTGACTCACCTTCTTTTCTAGTTTAATTTCGCAGACATTAGCAAATTTTCGAACCTTTGAAGCAGGAATAAGCTGTGTAGTTGGTTGATTAGGATCAAGAAAGACGACGCGATAACGCTTTACATGCCCTGTTTCGGGGCAGAAGTCCGCAAAACGACCCTCCGCGTCGCAGTCAATCATAGAGGGCCACTCCGGATAGCCTACAACACAGGTCAGAGCACAAATCCAACTGCCACGCTACTAAAATGCGCAACTTCAAACTTTTGGCATCAAATTATCCCGCAGCTTAAGCAATTCGATACACTCCTCTAGGTAAACCATTGGTTTACCTGATTCACAATCCAGTCCAGTTTAGCACAACGTGCAAACTTTTAACAGGGCAGCTGAAGGTTTTCATTGTGGGAAACTTGATGAATCTAGTTTAACATTCAATTACCTGTTGGGCATAGAAAAGAGCAGACAGTGACAAGACATGCAAACATCATTTACATTCTCGGTTTGTGTGTTTACCGACACAACACAAAAGTTGCTGTTACGTGCACTAGTTATTGTCGAGTTAGTCACAAAGGAAGAATCAGCAACTTGTCTTAAACGAAGCCGAAAATAAGCTCATGAGTTGAAGCTAGGTATCGTGAATGCAAAAAGGGCCTTACCAGGCATTTTTGCCAATACAACTGATCCAGTCCCGAATTCTCCGTAAACATATTGACTCTCATCAACCTCTGAGAGACCGTATTCCGGTTCGTTACAAGCTTCCTCCACCTTGACTTCGCCATTTGCAACCCGCGGATGCATATCACATTGCCAGGACTCCTCCACTTCACTAGGGTCCACGAGGCCCTCAAGGTAACGCCATTTCTTGCAGCGCACACACTCAACCCAAAGACCTGAAACAACATTGCTACTTATAATTTAAAGGCTACGGTTATTTAGAACTTTAAGAAAATAGGTCGCTGATAATCATAAGGATTAACGGCGCTACTTACTAAAAGATCATGAGTCCGATAGGATGAAAGGTGGCTAACGTATGGGTGGATAAAGCTAAAAAAACACTTCTGATGCTAGTGTGAATCTAATTACATGCTCAACATGAAGATAAGGTTGAAATATACCTTACAACACAGGCCAGGTGACCATTATAACTTTTCATCCGCATTCTTAACAAAGGGGTTAAACAATCTGGCAACTTACCCGGATTAGGGAAATCCATTGAGGCATGGTCTGAAAGAGATTCATTTGGATTTTCTACAACTGATGTGGTCACACTAAGGGCGATGTCGATGAAGCATATCAGACATTAAGAACGAAAAGGTCGACCAAACAAGCAAGGTTAAGCTCATTACGCAACATACAAACGTAAAAGGTGGCAGGGCGACAGTGGGCATTACGGCGTGGTCGCTATTTGCGTGTAGGGTATTTTAAGATTAGTGAAATGCAGTCTTCGTGATGCAATGTAAATTTTGCTGATACCTCAATTCGACGATTCAGTTGATATCTTCTTTTTTTCAAAATCAATGACTGAAAATTAAACGTGCCTAGTGAAAAGACGTAATTATACCATTCCACCATACCACCATTTCTTCACTTTGAAGATGAGAAATGAAATAGACATACTTAGACCGCACCATCCAGACGCTCAGCGGAACACCTGGTTTTGCAAGAATTGAACACTTTAGTTGCTACTATGATAACATAAGCTAATCACGAAGTGTTCCATCACGCTTAAGCAAGGACATGAGTGCTTACGCAATTGCTAGCTGGTGACGTATTTTGAAAGAAAAATAGTAGAATACCATCACATCGGTGACAACCCCACAATAGTTGGTGCATTTTTAAAAAGATGAACAAAACAAAAACAACAGATATTTAAATGTGCCTTAACGAAAATTAAAACAGGTACAATTAACCACCCACGCATTTTGTCAGCTGAAGTGTCTTCGACCCGAGGTATCTTGGCCTGGCAATTAGAGAAAAACAAACTTAAGGCAAGCAAAAAGACCGTGTGACGTAATTGATGTTTGGTCACTCGTATGAATATTCTTCTTTTGAGTGGGATACCTAATTCAATTTTCCAAAATCTTATAAGTCGTCCCTAACTTCGACTGTCAGTTATTTATTTCAACCAGGGTGGATGAAATTTTTACCTGGTTTATCATCGAAAAACATGAATGCAGTCAAGTTAAAGTCACAAGAGGCAAGTAGCAACTAGTGATTTTCAGCATTACCCCCTTGTTAACCAAGTTGCACGCGTTTCTAAATTAGTACACAACGATGTGACCACGGCGTCGTTGTATCCCCCAATTACTGCAAACGCAAGTGTAGAAAATGGATAAAATGATAGGTGGGAGAGTAGGAAGTGTCATTGCAATTGGCCAAAGTTATCTGCAGTGCCGCTTAAGCTAGTCTACGCGTGCGGTCTTTAGTTGACGTTAAGAACATATTAGCATTCAACTCATTTTTTATCTAAAATACATCAAAATCATGTCTTCCAAGAACTGGGACATGTTACGAATCAAACTCGATTACAAATTAACTCTTGCCTAAAAAGCAGATTTGTGGATCAACTGAGAGTTCGAAAAGGACCTAGGTATTGATGAGATGATAAGACTTTTATTCCAGAAGAGATTAACTAAAATGACTTCAGGTATCTTGGCAACAAGTTGTACTTGCAGTGGATACGTAGTCTGACGTCACGTTGGATAGATTGACGGGACGCTTGGAGAACGAATCGCAGCTGGCAGGGATGTCACGATTAACGGAATATAATGAAAAGAACTCCTCGCTAGACAGGGAGATAGAGGCTTGCAACACTGAATCGATTACTGCATCCACGATAAGACCTGAGGTGCCTTGTGACTTCCTTCGAGTATTTTCAGTGGGTAAGTTCCCTTGTGACTCGATTGATGTCTGATTTGATTGCTCAACTAGACAAATAAATCAAGGTAGCCAGATGCGGTTTGCATCCCCGCAATCGACAATGTCGGCAGAAAGTGGGCTCGAGAAGCAATTAAGTGGAAAATAAATAGATTTTATGTAAATTTTTAAAGGGGTTTTGAAATTTAGTTTGGGTGTTGCTCGGAGTTTATTGACAAACTTTCAGTACTAGAATTTACAATTAACTTTTCGCTTGAGAAGCCAGACATTTAAGGCACGCGATCGACGTTGCTGACAGTCATTCAAATATCAATGATAAATAAGTGACATTTTTGTTTGCAAGCGACTGACTTTCTAGTAATTCTTCTCGAAAACAGGCCTAAATTCACCACTACATGTCCCACATACCAACCCCAATAATCCTTTGCAAAAGAAGGGTAGAAATGAAGTGAAAGTTACTATAACCCGACTTGTCGGCAGCAAAACTTTAGGCAACACAAGTCCGCAAATTAAATTGATAACAGATCTCAGCATTCTAACATTTCACTCGTTAATTATGCAGAATTAAGTCATTTAACTTGACAAAATCTAATAATCCGAGAAGTGAGGCTTTCATACTATTTTTAATCAACTCCCAAAACCTCTGCAAAACGGTTAAGCGTTCTACTGTGTGCATAGATTTTACCGTCAAACACTTTCATCAATGATCTCGCAATAGACCTAACGTGAATCCTCGAAGGCCTAGTTGATCAAAGCAAAGGCAGGATAATTCGAACGTTTTCACACAACATCCATCTCGGTAGTAGTCGATGTGGAATGGTCTGATTGGAAGCTGCGTGCAATGGATAAACTGGATCTGGGCAATCCCCAGCTTGTGTCATATTCGTGCAAGTCTTGAAGCGAACGAAGTGCTCCTTACTTGATTCATTTATCATAGTTTCCGATGAATTATTTGGCGATTTTGTTGATTCCTCTTCTGAAATTGACTGCGAAGTAATAGTCGACGATTCCGAAGGCGAAGCAGTAATTTTAACCACAGGTGATCTGTCACTCTTCGATTTAGGCGATCCCACCTATAGAGGCGTTGAAAATGTTACGAATAAATGCACTGTCCCATGAAACTGCTTATAATTTGTTACTGAAAAACGCAATCTGAAACTCCTCGGCGCAGGCTAAAATATAAAACAACTTCATTTTCGTAAATTAAGCATTCTAATAAATACAATTATAGCAGATTTTAGCAAAATATTGCTTTGCACATTGATCTATGGAAAGGAACTTCAGTTAAAGGTCACTATCACCTTCCACGTTAGTAAAAATTGGGTATTTTGTGTAAATTCGACTGAAATTTACTGAATCACTTCATCTTCTGAGGATAGATGAGGTAACATAAAGGCACATTTACATTTCGGCAATACTAATTTGAGTTTACTAGTCCATGGTGTGAGTGCTTGAATGTTGTCGAAATATTCCAGCAGCATGTATCAAGGCTAAATGTAAAAGTTCCTATAATTCGTAGTCAAAATCACGCCTCTGTATTCTAAGCATAAGCCCTCTGTACACCTTAACTATCCACTAAAGAATCTCCATTCTCAAACAAACCACACATCATGTCCATGCTAAAACGTTTCTGAGACATACCACATGTAAATATATCGACATTAAAATGTAAGAACAAGTCAAAAGTGACTTTGAGTGGCATACGTTCACGAAATTGTCCTTCAACACTGCACATGAATGACCGAAGACAGAGGAGTAAATGGAGTGCATTTGCTCCGTAGTCCAGTTTTCCGTTTCAGCAAGAAAATTGTCAATGACTTCATCAACCCTAGAAGTCACTACAGGTGACCGTTTACATTTTTCACTATTTGAGGCCACCGGTGATTTCAACACAGATGTTGGGGTCGTGATAGACGTAGCTGATGCGCTTGTCGACGAGTGGAGAATGGGTGGATTTGGGGTTTTGTTATTCTGTGACACTGCGGTTAGGGGAGGCCGATTAAGTATTGGGGCTGCCGACCCCCTTGTCTTTAAAATTTAGAAAACGGTCAAAGGTAAACACAATACGAACAAAGTCAAGTAAATAAACGCACTTACAAACACGGATTTGAGGAGGAATCACTGCGAGCAGCCCTAACAATCAACTAAACTAAAATTCAGGATATAATTGCATAACTACTGGCTGCAACGCGGACAACTAGAAGATAGGCATAACATTAACACCTCACTATTTAACTGATGTTTACAATACTGCCTCTTTAGTCTGATTTTCGAGCATTTAGAGTGGAAAGATTACGTGTCTGTTAAGCTTCCTACCCCAGTACTTAAAGTGTAAAAGACAAGACGCTGTTTCCTGTTAAGAGAGATGCTGTAAATCTTTTTATTTTATTTGAGTAGTTAAGAAAAGTGCTATGGCAGTACCAAGGTCCAAAATTACTATCGATTGACGCTGATCTGCCTCCAGGAGAGGTATCCTGCACAGAGCACTACGACATGTATCAGTTGCCAAGTGTCAAGAGGACGATCTTGCCTGACGCGACGCGTCAATAGGATCTCCTGTACTGGAACCTGAATGCACCGATACTTCCACATCCATACCACAAAAATCAAAAGCTCCTGTCACCGCTATGGCAGACCAACTGTGTCAATCAGGAGGGCAATTTGCAACGCAGTGATGGAGAACCGAGACAGCTAATACCACCATTCAGAGGACGAAACCTTCATTTCATTGACCATGGCCAAAGAAACTTTGAAGGGATCACACGTTGTGATGACAATTAATACTGGTGTTTTTATTAATTACAAGTACCTTGAAGGGGAATTCGATTGCCATACCCTTTGGCGTCAAGAGCTAGAATAACGTAGTATCGAATTCTTCATCTCCAGGATCCCAGCCGCCAGTAAAGACACTAATGGGACAAGATATTGCCACCTTTATGTGGTAATTTAATCCTTATAGTTTCCAATCTACCACAGTAGTAACACAAACCCGACAGCATTTTGAGAAAGCCGATATCTAATACCGACGAAACACGAAAAACAATGTTCCTAACTCCACACATTACTAACTACCACAAAGAACCACCGAAGCTTCCGCAGAATGCCGTGGTGGTTGACTCTCACCATCACATTTACAACGCAATTTTCTGAAAGCCGCTTTTGTGGTTTTCGTAACCAAACTACGTCCAGACAGACCAGTGACCTTATTACCTTGTATTTAAGACAAAAAACTTCTGTTAAAGTGATGCTTGTATTCCCGCTTGTTCTAGTCCGCAAAATCGCTTAAGTTTTGCCGAAACAGTCTCCGGCGCAAAACTCGAAAAGAAAACGCAAACAGCGCAAAACAGAACCAAACCCTTAAACGACTTACTCGTTTTAGAAAAACCTATGACATAAATTAGAGCTGATCACTGTATGGAAGTAAAGACCAGAACCTTGCCGACACCAATCATTTAACGAAACAAAGAGAAGAATACTGTTTACAAACTGATTTATATGTACAATAGAAACGGATGGGCAGAGTAGGAAGGCGTGGAGCAGAGTCCTAATCGACTGCGTCTCCGACAGACTCCATGACAGCTCCACTGTAAGCCATGTCCCAGTAATGCTCTACATCGCGTTTTCGAAAGAGTTCGCGTGCAAAAAGCTCGGTAGGACAGAGTTTCATTTGCATGTTTTCGAAAGCGCGTTGCTTCACTGTGCCCTAAAACAAAGTGTGGGAATGGAAGTAAAGAGAGGGAAATAAAAATGAACTTCATTACAGTTGACTACGCTAACATACTCTCCCGTAATTGCCACAACATTTTTCCATGGGCAAAAGTATGAACGTGATGTCGTCGATTTCACTAAAAATCGACAAGACTTGTGGTTTGTAACGTTTGAAGTCAGGTAAGAGACTAAAGAGTATGGGATTAATTTCAAAAGTGGCCAGCGGCGCCTTAGGCATAACGGCACGACGGTGGGTTCTGATTGGCCAATATTAACCAATAGTTACGAACGAGCTAAAATGGAATGCACAATAATGCCCCTTGAGGCGTGCGCAATGTCCCGAACGTAAACAAATCAGTATGAAAGATTTCGCAGAATTTTACTTAGGACCAATCAGTCGTGCTTTCAACCGGCAATGTAAATAAAGCGAACTCCAATTGGTGAGAAATTTTAGTCTCACGGTATGTCAGATCTAGTGTCTGCATTTACAAACACAATGAGACCAGATACTTAACATCCGACCAGTGATTAACTCCGTTGCAGATTCGAACAGCTTTTGTTCGGAGCGCAAAGAACCCATTCAAACAAGGTAAATTAAACCACGCATTACGATGAAGCAGTTACAGCTGAGCAAAACTTACTTCCCAGATGAGTGTACAGGGGGCATGCGTGGAATTAGCAGCTTCCGAATCAACGACGCCGCGTTTGTTTTCCAGCCACTTGATCCGATGCAGCATGAGACGTTTGAAGCGACGCTGTTGCTTCGGCCCCCCTTCCACGATAACCACGTTGCAATCACTGTGCATTGCCACCAAGCCCGTCATGAAGAGCTGATTCGCGTTCGTCTCCACCTTGAAGCGGTGCGCGGGGTTCGTTAAATCCCGAACTCTGAACATTATAATGGTCACAAATTTTTTTCAATGTCCAACACGACAAAAGCGCTAGAAAATGGTAACGTTATTTCACGAAGGCCTAACCGAATGAAAAAATTCCTGAAACACTACAAAAGCAACAGTTCAATCCGATAAAACACGCCTGACGCAAGCTGTTTATTAACACTCCCACACAAAACCTGAAATTGCATGCATTTACCATCGGTGTAGCCAAGAATGTACAAATTTAACGTAAATTACCGAAAATAAATAAATATAAAGTAATAATTTCACGACTGATGTGTTAGGGGGATAGGGATGAAAACTAGTCAGTTGGGGAAAGGAATCGCATACGACTACAATAAGGCCCTTCGCTAACCTGTACACCGCTACGTGAGTTCGAATGGAGGTGTCCTCACGAATCTTCCGGATGCGCTTGAACCTAGCCTGCTCCTTTGTCAATTTTCGCGACGCATTCGCAGCCTCGTGAGCCCTCTTTCGAGACTCCATCTGCTTGCGAACGTATGCCTCGACCTTGCTGGGATCTTGGACTGCCTCTGAACCAAGCACGCGCATCAAGTTAGCCAATTTCACCTGAAAGAAAGGAAGCATGGGAATAAGTGGTGTACTCATTGGGAAGCATTCACCAAAGCAATCCGTCTCCAGATAAAAAAAAAGCATACAGAATTCTTTGAATTGGTTCAGCACAAGGGCCTTGAAGATACAAGTATGACCTTGGTGAACATTTGTGACACATGAATCCCAATACCTCAAACAGTGTCAGTCTCTGTCAAGCCGGTGTCCACCTGGTGATTTCCTCTTCCAAAGCCCAGACGCATATACCAAGGGCATACGAACGTCAACTATACGAAATTAGACCTGTACCACGATTTCTTACACATCACACAATTCGTACAAAAATTAGTTGGCATTGGGGTCCTTTCAATTCAATACGAAGCGAATTTTACAAACTTTTGACGCTTTAAATACGCAGTCTTGCAGACGTAAGTATACTACCTTAGGTAACCAGTGTCTGAAATTTGGCATTTACACAAGTTAAGTTTCTTGATAGACTGTTATTTATTACTCTAGTAATGCAATTTTACTGAAATCGAAAATGGCCAGAAAATTACGCGATTTTTAGAGACAGGTTATTTTTTGAAAGCCAAACTGACCCCGATTTGATCGACTCAAACTGTCGTTACATCCTAAGCAACATCCCACTCGCTTTTCTTAGCGTCTACATACCCCATGCGGACACACTAGATGATAGTCAACTGTGAATACACTGTTTGGGCCTTACTTTTGGCTCTGGAGGCTTTTCCAACCCAAGTCTGACGCGTTCCTGGCGCTCCTTTTGAGCTTCCTGTCGGTTTTGTCGGCGCAACTTTTTACGCTCTTTTTTTGTCAAAAGTAGGGGTATTTCGGGTGGCTTGTGGAGCTCCGTCGGAGCTTTCATCTTTATAGGATGTTCTATTAGATCGGTAATCCAAGACTCATTAATCAAAGCAGCAGCCGAAGCAGGTTCTAAAAGGCCCTCGTTTGAGGAGTCATAACTGAAACAATCAAAATAAGTGCAAATGAGTACCTTGTAATACCATCCTTTAGAATATACGCATCCCACCATTCTACACTGGGAACTGACGTTTCATCAACATGTCGTTTGGGTTGAATTGTTGCTAGTTTTGCAGCACTAGCGATTCCAGTGCGTTTAGCCGCCTGAGCGACCGACTCCTGCAGCTTTTCTAACTGTGCTTTTGTCCGCATTCGTTGTCCAATTTTAATAAACTTCCCTGGCTCATAAAATGAGAGACTTCGCTTTGGTCGAGCAGCACTTTTTAGTCTACGAACATTAATTGAATAAAGACCTACGAGAGACGAGGATCAAAATAGGGGCTAGAAGTCGACACTTTGGGTTTCTTGGGGCCAGCAGCCTCTACAACTTCCTTAACACCTTGAGACTTTTGCGCTCGTACGTTAGCCTAGAGAGGTAAAAATTCTAAAAAAATCACCTTTAGGGTTGGCGTTCGTTGAGGTATATGAACTTCCTCTCCGGTGGTAGCATCAATAGTCTTTCCATGCTCATCAAAAATCAAATTTCTAAAATAATCTGGATCCTCTTTACGTACCTCATTTGTTCACGTTCTTTCCTAAAATAAGTTAAACTTATAACCTAGTAAAGCAAACCTGCTGGAGTCCTCGATTGGTGTTGGCAAAACCTTAGTCACAAGGGAGTGGAACCGTGACGCAATCTTGGCTTCGAGTTCAGCGGCCCGACGTGCTCTCTCAGCAGTTTCTGGGTCAGCAATAAGCCCCTGGGGTATCAGCTGAGGTTTAGCCGGGATGTTTCCCTAGATATAAAGAAATGCGGGTTAAGATATCACCGGATGCGAGACATTAATAACTTAGAATAACACAATAAGAATCTAAGTAATTTGCTTATAACCCTTCCCAAGTGTAACGGACCTATCGTCTTTCATTGATGATATACACCGAGATGAAACCACAAATGTGAATCTAATCGGGCTCTCCACGGTAGCATACATATCCATGGGGGATGGCATCGAATTTCTTTATAACCCAAGTCAATAGCTGCAATGTTTGCTCCAGTGCTCACTACTTCAAGGAGCGATTGCGACAAACACCCACTACTCGGCTCATCCACAGAACATATGACTTTAAACTACACATGCATTCATCACAAATTGAATAATAACGCCTTGTTTAATCACAATTCATCAAAAAAGTCACAAGTCAGAGCTTTCAGTATATGTTAAACGCCATTTGTACCACCATTTGCAATCATGCCGAAGGACCAACGTTGCTAAACAAGTGTTGTTCAGCAGCTCCATACATTTAGGTGAAAGCAACAATAGAATTCAACCAAATGCCAAAACACAAGAAAGCGAATTATTTTGCATTTTGGACAGTCAGTCGGAATTGTGCTAGAAATGGACATTACAATCATTTTCTTCTCTACTTATCAAAGTGGCGGTGTTATATGGATGCGTTTCAAGATAGCGTGGCCGTTTATAAAGTAAATGTGCAAGCACAGATTTGCCGATCTTTAAGAAGGGAAAGTTTTTTTCAACTTCGGTTTCCACAACATGACATTTAAAATATTATAAGAGATTGGCAGAGAACCGTTTGCAACGCAGTAATCAAAATGCGACCCCAATCATTACTTGGAAAGTTAAATATCCAACCCGCAGTCACACAATTTATCGTTGGGAAGACCAATATTTCTACTATAAATCATCAATTAATATTTAGCATCCAAAGCGTAATCGCCCAGCTACCCGAGCATAAGAAAATCACGCGTACCCTCAAAATGCACATACGCTACCAACGTTTAAAAACCACTTAAAGAGCGATTAAATATGAAAATCAACCATACTCGTTTGATGGTGTCCAATAATGTAAAAATTTAACAACACATCACTTTGATATCAGTGGTTACTTGCTTTTAAATGATAGGCCCTAATTACTTTAGCGTGCCGCATTAAATAGTTTAGACTTTAAGTTAGACGTTAAGAGAGTGGACATACCAAACCCAATGACAACTTCCTTTCAGCAATAGTTCTTTGGGCGTTCTCCATAAGTTCTCGGATCTTTGCACTATTAAGCTCACCCGACCTACAGTCAATCCAAGTAAATTAAAAACCTCAATTTACACAAAGGGAGTGCCAGCAGGTCCGGAATTAAAACTAGACATCTTTTGAAAAGGTATTCAATAGACGGATCAGCAGAGAACACGAGAAGCAAATTCCAGCAACAGACTTGATCAATTGAAACAAGAAATAACTGACCTACGATGAAGGGCAGTAATCAATGGTCGGAAGTCAACTTACCCTCATATGAACACATTTTTTAAATTCTTTTAATTGATTTTGCAGGAATGCTGCAAATTCACTATCATTTAATTAAAATTGCCATCATTAAATTAAAAAATATCATGGAAAATGATCCTAAAAAGTGATAGCCAATTTGAACCTTACATCCTTTTCCAATTTTTTTAAACTACTTTTTTTCAAAGGATAAAAAAATTTGAATATTTGTGAATTCTGTACACCCAAATAGATTTTTGTCATTAAAGCGATTTATATTTTAAATCATATTCAATAATTCAACATTTTGTGCATAATTAGGGACATCTTTCGATGAAACATATTTTGAAAACACATTTTAAATGCCTTTAAGTGCAGAAATGGGCCAAAATTGCTATCAATGTACATTTGCCTATTATCAGGATATTTGCTTTACTACCTCTGTTTCGTGCAATTATTATCTATTCAGTAGGCAACTTTTTATCTGTTTTAAAGTAAAAACACAGTCTAGCTCAAAAAATCGAGTAGGCTCTTATTAGTAAACTAGAAGATTAAAATTAAGGCTGTTGAAAAATTTGTTTATTTCTACATGTGAATCACCTAAGAGAACTCGTATCGACTAGGGCTGTCGGCTCGTTCTATGCTGTAGCACATTATAAAATGGCGACCCTATGCCTGCTCCAACTATATTTGCTCACTTGTCACTTTTGTTGTCTAATTTTTACGCAGAATTGCTTAAACACCACACTTAATGTGATTTATTTTGAGTTCGCGATGAATGGAATATGTAACAAATTTACGGTGACAGGCTTTAGGGTTCTGCTTCTAGTAAATTAAGTTTTGTGCTTTTTGGACATAGTTTTCATCATCGAAATATCCCTAGAACGGTAGTTTCAACGAATGCTAGAAAAATCCGGATTCTGAAATGGTTTAAGTTGCAACCTTATTGGATCATTGCAATTTATTTTTCAAATAAGACTTTTATAGTTAATTCATATAATCAGTTTAAAAAAATGGGACGAAAACCACGGCAGGTAGCAGAGATAGTAAGTTGTGAATCCATTTTACAGATTTCATATCGACTTTGTTTTGAATCACAACATATCGTCCGTCCGCGGATCCTCAAGTCCTCCCTCATTTACATGGATACTTGAACTATCCTCACACCTAGGTCTCGATGCATGACTCACATATCCGAGGTATAAATACACGTGAGCAAACTTCACACACCACCACCAGGACATCGTCAGGTTCTCAAATAAACGGTTGACTCTCTTTCCTTCCGCAGACTTTATCCTTATTTTGTAGTTAGTGGAATACGGCGTCGTAACAACATCACATTTTGCGAGGAATTGCTTTGTAGCATTTATATATGCTAATATTACATTAATAACAAGCAACCTTTCACAAAAACTAAAATAATTTTCACCGTGAAGTTTTAGAATAAAACCTCTATTCAAACATAGGAACAGTTTGGCTGTGGCTGTCGTATATTGTGAATGTTTTACATGCTTAGGACGGTTGCATGAAATCCATGGATCTCACTGCAAAGAAATATGAAGCGATGTTGTTGTTGAATGAATTTCAAAATATTTTAATTAGAAGCGGTGATGCTTTTATCTGCGACCAGTCGTAAAACTCTGTCAGTAGTACTAATAAAGGCGTTAAAAAACATGTCTTCTGTCTTTTTAGTTTTTGAGTGGCCCTAAATGTACGAATCGACAAATCCCACTTTAAGTCATTAATTTGAATAAGCACAGATTCTTAAGATAGTGAGGATCCCGAATAAGTCACCGATGCTAGGCAAGCCGACCCTATCTTTACAAGGAAATTTAGTATTCTCTGATTGATACCATGGATTGATGATCTGTTTCCAAAAAATAATCTGCAAAATGGGGATTTTAGTAAGTAATTCGTTTAAGGGCCATATGGCGAGCAGCAAGCATGCGCAGTTAGCAGTCGTGAGCTAACACAATGTACAAGCGTGAGTAGACACGATTTAATCGATTTTTGTGATTTCATTTAACGCAACTGCGTTCATTCAGATATTGATCCTTAGCGGAGCCATAAAAATACACTTGTTATTCTGTACACACACACCGCTACAACATCAATAAATTAGTTGAGCTACCTGCCTTCTGCATGTTCTGCACTACTTTCTGTCGAGCCCTGTCAGCGTATATCGCCGGCCCTGGTGTGGTTCCCCAAAATTGCACCCGGACCCGCTACAGCCACTTTCAGTCAGAAATGCTTAAATAGCTACAGTGAAATTTTTAAAAAAAATTGGCTCTATAATTGTGCATGGAAATATCTGTCAAATCCACTAGACACCATCGTTTCAAATAAAATTCGTATACAAGAATATTAATAGGTCGAATTTGTAAAGTGTGTTGCAACTAGAAGGCTTAAAATAAGGCAGGGTATGATAAAGATCTGCCACACGCCAGTGTGCATGTTAGAATGCATTGATGACTGCTCTTCCTCCGTCGCTAATGTCATTGAGTCAGCAGCATGTCAAAATCGGTTTAATTAAGCCGCCAAATGCCTACGATCCTCTTACCAAATGGTTAAAATGGTAGAGTATAGCCATAAAATTATTATTCTTAAGTCAAGCTCTTTGACTTATACAAAAGGTAGGCTGCAACAAATATCTGCACATGTGCGTTTTTCTACAGAAACCCATTAGGTGAAATTTAGTTTCTAAACTTATAACAATTTAATGTAAAAAAATGTTTTTTTGTTTGACTGGGGGCAACTAAATACAGCACTTTAATGTGTCCCCTAACCATTACAACCCATTTCAATAAACCACTAATGAAGTATACGGAAGTACCGAAATTACATTTGTACCATTCTACAGGACAGCGAATTTTCCATAATTGTCGACATTCTCATAAGTAACATATTTATCAATTACATTATTCCAGACTATGCGCGAAGGAGTAGGGTCCAAGAAATAGGTTACTAGATTGGAAAACATGAATAATTAAATCCATGCGAGACCAGGAAAACATTTAAAAATACGCTAGTAAATACTTGATTTTTTTAAAATGGCAATAACTTAGCTACTATTTAATGGGCCTGCTTGTCAAAGCGGTAGGAATGTTTTAATAACTGAATCAGCAACTACAGGTCTTGATTTTTAGCTACGTATTTTAAAGCTAAGCCATTTGTTCGTTTAGGTAGTCATTTGTAATACAAATCTCGCACAAACGAAGTAAAAGTGAGTGTATGAGCAGGACTGCTTATTTTCTAAGGTTTGAATACAGTGATGACACGTTTTCACCAACGATGATGCTAGGGTAGGTTGCAGAATCTGAGCAGTTCTCAAAGAGTATATATTTTAGGATAATCTAAAAAAATTAAAAGAAATGATAAGCCAGGGGCCCCCCTTTCTAGTGTTCCACACGTCTGCGTCGCCAGCATTTTGAGCTTATAGATTATATCTTCATCTCTGGCTCATAATCTTCAATGCTAGCTTTTTCATCACTTGGGCCCTGAGTGATTAAATATTTCTGCGCCGTTGGAAGTCATTCAAGTTATCAGATGTAAAATACCCGTGCCCTAATATGAAGAAGTCTGGTGCAACAGATAAAAAACTGCTAAAAGTAGATGTCATGACCCTCTTAACTGAGTGCACCACGCTGGCTGCGCCGCTCATTATATACTGCTTCTCATAGGTGTCGTTCTTTGGTTGGTTTCTTATATTCCTCGTATGTCATTGAAATGCTGACGCCAGCATGGTCCAACATGTCTGCACTCTTAGACGACGCACTCGTAGATTACCCGAGCCCTAGTGTACAGAAGACTGGTACAACAGAACAGGTTTTATAGACCAATTCCAAGGCAGAACCACATTTCAGGAGCCGTCCATCCCAGTCCACCACTCGGGTCACGACGCTCATTATATACTGCACCCTATTCGTGTCTTTCTCTGGTTGGCTGCTTATCTTCCTCGCATGCCATTGGAACACAGAGACACAGGATTGGCTGCAGCCAGGTGGTCCAACATGTCTGCGCCCTGATCCGACGCCACACCACTGTAGAACACCCGAGCCCTAATAGGCAAAAGACTAGTACAACAGAACAGGCTTTATTGACCAATCAGAAGCCAGAGCCACGCGTCAGGCGTCTTCCATCCGAGTCCACTGCGCTTGCCACGCCGCTCACTATATACTGCACCTCATCCATGTCCTTCTCTGGTTGGCTGCTTACCTTCCTCGCATGCTATTGGAACGCAGAGGCACACAGGGTTGGCTGCGGCGAGGTGGTTTAACATGTCTGCGCCCTAATCCGACGCCACACTACACTGTAGAATACCCGAGCCCTAATAGATAAAAGACTGGTACAACACAACAGGCTTTATTGACCAATCAGAAGCCAGAACCACACGTCAGGCGCCTTCCATCCGAGTCCACCACGCTGGCCACGCCGCTCATTATATACTGAATCTCATCCATGTCCTTCTCTGGTTGGCTGCCTTCCTTTCCCGCATGCCATTGGATCGCAGAGAGACACGGGATTGGCTG